GACAGGGAATAAAATCATTATTGAAAGGGAATATTGAAGTGCCCATGTCTTGCATATATGGACTATATATAGGACAGTCCCTATCGTACTAGAACAAACGATGCACCGGTCCAGTGTCCCGTGCGTCGGGTGCCAGCGACTCTTCTTTCCGGCGTCGCTACCGATTCACCAAAAGACGTGTTTCGCCAAGAACGCGTTCGTGTCGCTGCCGTGTCCGACGTGTCATGTGACGCTGCGGTGCGTCCGTCAGACGTCCGCCGTGATAAATTGCCTTGATAGAACGGGCAACTACTTCAACCACGTCAAGAACTGCACGGACGAGCCCGTGGCAACGCTAGCTAGCGCGTCCGAGACAGCTTCAATGGAGCCTGGACCCATTGGGCCTGTCGAGGACGACGGGCGTATTCAGTGCCGGAAATGCCATCGCGGGTTTGCCCCCGTACGCCGTTGCGATCCCAAGCGGCCCCATGATGACGGCTGCGTAGGACCGTATCGCCAAGCATCAGTCCGTGTGCCACGAGTCCGAGCGCATCAAGTACGTGCGCGACGACGGCAACCAACTCCAGCACTCGACGACGACGACGCGCGCCAAGGTGCGTTTGCCCCAGTTTGCAGAGTATCAAGTTGATATTAGCCTCGCACGATCAAGCGCGCCCTTCCACCCTCGCTCCATAGCAATGTAGGGAGCTAGCTCACGACGCTGCGTGATGGTTATGACGTAGGTGCCGCTGCCGCGGTCGGCGCCTCACACCGGCGCTTCGATGCCGGCACTGCACGCTTGTCGCAAAGCGCCGTACGACCTCGTGCTTCGAGACGCGAGCAACCAAACGGGGTACACAGGCGCGAAATACGGAGGCATTGATTGCAGCAACCAAACTTCGGCCGGCAACCCGCTCAGTCGGCGCCTCGTGTGATACGATAGTACTAGATGTGTACAATATTGTCTTTTTACACGACCTCAAGTACGAGGCTGGCGCCCGCGAGCACCCACTTGGCCGGTGGCGCCTTGCTGCGCAGCTGCGCGGTGCAAATGTACGTCGGGCCGCGCTGCTGCGTGCGGTAAACGGGGCACTCGAAGATGTTGGCCGCGGCGAGGCCCGTCGCCAAGACGGCTCGGATGTTGATGATGGGCATCGGACAGCTCATTTCTTTTGGGTGGCTCACGTCAATGACGCCCGAGCCCATGTCCCAGCGCGCGCCTTCGAGGAAGAGCCCGTAGACAAACTGTCCGTCGCGGCTCGGCGCATCGAGGGCATCGAGCATGCGCTTGGTGATGTCGGTCACGATGCTGAGCTTGTCGAGCTCCACCGACGTCTTCTTGGCGGTGGTTTGGAGCACGGCGGTCAAGAACGACTGCGGGTTGAAAAGGCCGGGCAGCCAAATCGCAATCGGAATATCCGCGCCTTGGCCCGCCCACTCTTGCAGCTGCGACAAGCGCCGCTCGAGGTCCGCCAGCCACGGCGAGAGCGACCGAAGGCTCGGGTAGGCCACCGCTTGCCACGTCAGTGGAACGCGATCCAGGTACAAGTGCTCTTGCAGCGTTTCCATGGCTTCCGTCATGGTCAAATCGCCTCGAAAACCTAAATCGAGCTCGGCCAAGCTCTTGGTCATGTGGTCGAGGAGGACGTTCATGCGCTCACACTCTTGCACAAACACCGTCTGGTACGGCGAGAGGTCGCCGCCGTTGAGCACATCTGAGACGTCGAGGCGCAGCTCGCGGTACGTCTCGAGGACGTCCTGCAAGATGCCTTCGGCAATGCTCTGCATCGAGTCGGTCGACGACGCTGCCACGACGTCGGTCGCCGGCGCCGACGGCAACGCGCCGAGGAGCAATGTGCCCTGCAGGAGATTCTCGCTCGCTTCGGTGGAAAACTGAATGTCCGTGTTGGGGTGCAGCCCAAACGCGAGCGGCGAGTCGCCAATTAGCGTCAGCTCGACATGCTCGAGCATGCGGTCCAAAGTCGCGTTGAGCTTGGGCGCTGTAAAGAGCTTGACATCGTCGCCGTCGTCGAGGTACGGGAACATGCCGAGCTCGTCGAGCAATTCGTCGCGCAAAAAGTAGGCCAGATACGTGTTGCACACGAGCCGGTCGACGTCGTTGACAATGTGCCCGCCGTACATGATCTCCCCAAAGAGGTAGCGCAAGTCTTGCCACGGCACGCGCGTCGGCGCGTTCTCCATGTAGTTGCCTAGCACGGTCGCACTCGCAACGAGATCGCCGGCAGCAAACGGATACTTCATGTTGAATCCCTATCCACATGGATAGATCCAACTATGTATCCAAACGACATCGGATACCTGGGCTCCAAAGCGCTTGCGCTCGAGCATGATCGAATGAAAGTAGCACATGCCAAAGAGGATGCCGCGCGTACGCGGCTCGAGATCGTCGACGTACGCTTTCGAGAAGGCGCAGAGCGCGCGCTTGACGTTGGCCTTGAGCCCCGTCGGCGGCTCGTTCGTGAGCTTGATGGCCTTGTCCAAGACGCCGATCGGAATGTGCGGCGACGGGTCCGACGAGATAAAGACACGGAATTCCTTGTGGACGCGACCACTCTCAGGCTCGAGATTGCTCAGCCACTTGTCGAGCTCGAGGAGCCACACAGGCATCAAGTGCACGTTGTTGAGCAGGATCCAGTGGCCGTTCGCCATCCCGTCGGTGAGCGCAGCCATCGCAATGGTTTCCTGGCCTTGGCCCAAACTAATGTTGTGGTACTCGAGGCCCTTGCGCTTGGCGGCGCCGGCCGCGAGCTTGTCGACGTTGACCACAACGTCCGTGCCCGGCGAGAGGATGAAGTAGAGCGGTGTCGACGGGCTTGACTGCTGGAAGGCGTCTTGGAGCACTTGGTATGCGTTGAACTGCGCGTCGCAGTTGAGGTACTGGGGCGCATGCGGGAGCACGGCCGCAATAAACTGATGCAACGCGACTACAAGCCTATCGCCGCGGAGACAGCGGAGCACGAGGAGCTTGAGGAACGGCGTCTTGTCGAGCTCGCGCCAGTCGAGCGGAAGTTTTTCGGTTTCGGGCGTCGCCGAGTTGTACCACTCGCGGAACCGCGCTTCGCTCTCAACGAGGTCGGCGACAAAGCGCTCAAAGCCCTCGACTAGAATCAGCGCTTGCAGCATTTGCCACTACACCAACCCTTTCAAACCGATCACAAATGACATGCTTAACCAACCTGCGAGTCGTTGAGCCACTCGATGGCGTTTTCATCGCCGACGATCTTGGGCGCCCGAAGGAAGAAACGCAAGTGGTCGTCGCTGTAGCCGCTCCAGTCGCCAATCGCGCCGCGCTTGAGGAGCGCAAAGGTGAGTTGGGTCAAGAAGAGAAACTTGTGCTCTTCGAAGAGGCCGCGGCTGACCATCGTGAAGAGCGTGAGGAGCACCGACTTGCGCAGCTGCGAGACGCGTTCGTGGGCGTCAATCACGTTTGGGTTGTGCGGCACAGCGTCCATGGCCTTGTAGTAAAAGACTAGGAACGCGTCGAGCGAGTATTGGTACATCGGGTTGATCTGGCAGAGAAGCACCATGATGAAGAAGATCATCGACCCTTCTTCGGCGATCGGCCGGTACACCTCGCGCGCGTCATTGATGACGCGCTCCGTCTCTTTCCCGCGCAAAATCGCCGAGTTGACATCCGTGGCAGTCATTTTCGTCGCCTCGAGCGACTCGATGAGCGGGACGTCCGAGAGAATGTCGTCGGGCGCGTTTGCGAGTCGCTCCAAAAGCTGGTTCTCGAGCTCCAAGAGCTGTATCTTGTACTTATTGAACTGCTGGGCGAGCGCTTGTTTTTCGGTCTCGAGCACGGGCTGCTCGCGGTTGACGACTTGAGCGAGCAGCTGGTCTTCGAGCCCGCGCTCCGTCACGATAAAGTTGATCAGTGTGCAGTGCGCGACGATCTCGGGGCGGTAGTGCGGGTTCGAGAGCTTGGTGTGAAGAAAGAGCCGAAATTTCGTGTCGTACTCGATGTCGTCGCCGCCGAGCTTGACGAACCACGACTTGCCTTTGCGGTGGATTTGCCGCATGAGGATTGGCTCCAGCATCACGTCGAGAGTCTCGCCTACTTGGTTCTTAGTGCGTCTGCGATGAAACGAGGTCGATTACCTAAATTCTCAAGGAGAACGGTCGCGCCATCGGTAATGCCTTGCTCCAGCAGCTTGCGCCAGTTCTTTTGGGATGGGTTCAGGACCACAAAGCTCAGCGGCGCCCGATCGTTCATTGGTGCGTTGCTGTTACTGGTGCTACTCGCTGCCTTGGTGTTGGAGTTGCTCCGCTTGCCCATCTCGGAATTGTTGCTCCGGCGCTTGGCGAGTTTGGCCTTGGCGTCCGCTTTCTTACTTGGGGACTCGGACGCGCGATTGGCGTCCAGTGACGTACTTGAGTTACTACTGCTCGCTTCGGTGAGCGTCCGCTGCATCTCTTTCGAGCGCAGCCACGTGAGGCCCTGCAGCTGCGGGTCAATCAGCAGCGGCCAGCGCTCGCAGCTCGAGATGATGCAGCCGTTCTCGATCGACATGCGGTCGGCGGGCAGCCCTTCGTTCATCCACTGGGCGATCGCCGAGTCGTCACAGAGCGTTGAAATCGGGTCCAACGTCGGCGCCTTCTCGTCTGCGCTGGGCCGTAGACTGATAGGGATCTCTCGCGCCGCCAAGTCGGGCAGCCACACCTACACAAGAGAAACGAGGATTACACTTCAAGACACCAGAGATTGCTCCTACTTGTTTCCAGAGCTGCACCCGGAACGATGCGTCAAAAGCGCCAATGTAACTCACAAACGCCGCTGCCAAGAGCACGTCGCCCACGAGACACGTTTCACCAACCTTGAGCACGTCCACTTCGCGCTTCCAGCGCTCGTTCTCGGACGCAAGGCCGCTCACGAGCCGCTCGGCGAGCCCGAGCCGCTCTTGGCACGCCCGTGCTTCCGCTTCCACCTAGCACCAACTCTCCAGTGACGTTGCGACGACGGCGATTGTACCTTGGCTTTTTCGTTGGTCGCTTCACGAAACGAGGCTTGAAGCGCCGAGAGCTGCACCTCGACTTCGCGCACCATGGCCTGGACCGTCTCGAGAGCCGCGTCGGCATCGAGCTTGGCCTTGCGGCTCTCTTCGAGCGCGTCCATGAGCGGCTTGACTTTGACGTACACCTTGTGGTAGGCCATGATGTTGATGACCCACGTGCAGAGGTTGGCGGCGGCGACCGACTTGGCCTTCATTTTCTCAAAATTGAAGTTGGGGTCGTCGAGGATGGGCTCGACGCGCGCTGCGACCTCGGGCGGGATCGCGTCCTTGTCGTACTGCTCCAGCGCGACTTTGAACGCATCGACTTTGGCCATCATTTTCTTGGCATTGTCCCACGAAAAGTTCTTGGTCTCGAGCTTGAGCATCATGAGCACGGCGGTCGTGACCTTGTCGACGCCCGCCGGCGGCTTTTGCATTGACTTGAGCTCGGTCAAACTCGCCTTGTTGAGGCAGTTGACGGCGTCCTGCGCGGCCTTCAACGCTGGCTGCGCAATCTCGAGCTCCGCCATCGCTTGGCGCTCGATTTTGGTGGCCATCTCGGCGGCCTGTGTGGCCTTTTCCTTCTCTTCGTCGGCGCTACCCAAGCTATTAGTTTCAACGCTCATCCAGAATCGAGGGTACCGTCGCTGCTTGATTTGCGCATCGTTGCGCTGCCGGCCCATTTGCTCGAGGAGCACATCGGTCGCCTTCTTGCGCTCGTCGACGCGCTTCATCGTGGCTTTGAGGTCGCGCTGGAGCTGCTCGACGTCATCAGCCGTCTTCTTGAGCGTGCGGAGGCCCACGTCGAGGCGCTGGATGAACTGTGCGACCGACTTGCGCTTGGCACGGAGCAGTTTTTTGTAGAACAAAATCAGCTCCAAGAACGACGTCGGCGTCACGTAGTTGTAGCGACCGAGGGCGGCTTTGAATTGCACCGAGGCAGCAATCACCGACGTGTGCACCTCGGCCATGTGGTGGCTCACATTGTCGGCGATCGCGAGCGACGGCCACGAGAGGTCGCTCAGAAACGACGTGCTCACGCTCACAAGCGCGTCCTTGGGCCACGGGTGGAACCAGTCGATGGCCACGCACTGAATGAGCGCGGGAAAGCGCCGAAGACGGACGCGGAAGCTCGGGTGCACGGGCGAGCACGCAAGCACGACATGGCAGTTGGCACGGACCCGGTCCAGGAAGAACGATATCTAACCAAACAAATGATGAGATCTAGCATCTAGAATCTGGGATCTGGTATGTACCATGTGGTCGCGGGCGTCCGGGATGCTGTTGGCTTTTGCTTCCGCACGCAACGAACCGAGAATGGTGTCCATTTCTTCCGTGGCAAAGAGGTCGGCCAGCGCCGACGAGCCGGCAATGAGCATGTTGAGGTAGATCAAAAAGGTCTCGTGCACAATCTGCGAGTCGGTCAAGAGCAGCACGAGCGGGAGGCCGGGCTTGACGCCGGCCCGGCGCACCACGTCCTTGATGTCTTCCACGAGCTCGTTCGTCCCATACGTGGTCTTGACGCACAGCTGCAATAGCGGGTACTGGCAAATGAACGTCGCGAGCTTCGTGAGCGACTGCTTTCCCGAGCCGCCAACGCCAATGAGCATCAAATGGCCGCGGGGCATCGTGAGCACGCGGAGAATGCGCACGACGTGGTCCATCGCCGCCTCAAACAGCACGAGGTTCATGACGGCAGCGGTCTCGTTGTATGAGTGCAAACACGTTTGCAGTGTCTCTTGGAGCTCCTTTCGGTCCTTGACGGGCACCGGCGGGTACGACAGAACGCCGTCGACTTCTTTTGGCAGCCGCGTAAATAGGTTGGGCTGCGCGTTGAGCTCGGCCGCGTCGTCTTCCAAGTGCTTTTTGGCGTGCTCCAAGAGCAGTTCATGGAACCGAACGACTTCGGCCGTCGAGACGAGCCGATCGCTGAAGACGCGGGCGCACTCGTGCAGCCAAAACCGACCCATTCTTAGTGTCGTCGCAAACAGCTCGGGTTTCGTCGCGAGGAGACCTTGGAAGAGCAGTCCGAGGTCCCGCAAGCTAAAGCTGTAGTGGGGCTTGACGGCTGTCGGCACGAAGTGTTCGCGCAAGTCGGCATGCAGGTCCATCGTCGCAGCGAGAAGCCCGGGCGCCATCTTCTTGACCCCGTCACTAAAGTGGCTCATGTGGTGGTGCCAGAGCGCCCCAAAGAGCGACGAGCACTCGGACCGCGTCGGGAAGAGGACGCCAAAGGTCGCAAAGTGCCGCTGGAGGCGAGGGTTGATGCCAAAGGACCCGGCTTTGTGGTTCATGCAGCCGACAAACTGGACGTCTTGCATCGTCTTTTTGCAGCCAACGTCATATCGGTCGTACCAGCCGCCATAGTCCATGTACTGCCGAAGCAGCTCGGCGTGGGTCTGCGTCCCGTACACTTCAACAAACGGCAAATTGAGGTCGTCGAGGAAGTACACGAGGTGCGACTGCCGCGGCGGCCCGTAAATGCGACCCGACCGCTTCTCGACATGGCGCTCGAGCTCGGCTTGAAGCATCGCGGCGTCGGTATAGTAGTGCAAGCCAATGTTGGCGACCAACTGGTCTTCCTTGTGGCGTAAACACTCGGCCATGATCGTGGTCTTGCCGGTACCCGGGCCGCCGACCAGCATCACAGGTGTGTGACCGGGCAAGAGGAGCTCGACGAGAAAACTCAAGCGCGTGCTCTCGACCGTGGGGACGACTACGTTGTATATAGGCATGTCCCCAAACACCATATTGCTACTGGGCACAACGTCGGCCCACATCACAAACTCGTTCGTGTCCAGCGAGAGACGAAAATCAAAGACAGAGACATTTGGGTCGTCGCTGAGCGCATGCGACGGCTTGAAGAACGGCTTGACCACCTGGCTAAAGAGCCGGCGACTGTCGCGCGGCTCGCAGTCGAGCGCGCCGCCAAAGGCCCAGACCGCACAAAACAAAAACACATTCTCGAGCACGTCCGGGACCGCCTCCGGAGTGCGCGCGGCAAAGCCGTCGAGAAGCTTGCACAGCGTCGTCATAATCGCAATGGCGCTCGCCGGGACCATGCTACACAGCTCCTTCTTGTGCTCTGCGAGCACTTGGAAGAAGACATCCGCGTGCTTTCGGAAGAGCGCCGACCAGAGCGCAGCGTCGCGGCGCCGGCTCGCCCACGAGTCCACGTACGGCATCCACCCAACGTCCGTGTCGTTGAGGAAGAGGATGCCGGCGCGCGAGACGGTCGCCGGCGTCGCATTCACGAGCGAGTGGACCTCGAACACCATGCGCATCGACTCGGTGAGCGGAATGCGCTCGTTCGAGACGAGCGTGAGCACCTTATTGTCGTCCATGACGGTGTTCATGCTTTCGATCCAGACCGCGTCAATGTCGCCGTCAAGGACGACCCACTTGCCGCGCTGATAGGACGTGTACGGCGCGACCTCCTTGCTCATGTTGCGCATGACGATCGAGAGCACGCCGTCCTTCCAGTCACGGCTGAGGGTCATGTACCCATACAGCTCGTCGGACGAAACGCTCTTGGGATTGATGGCTTCGTACACCACGACCGGCTTGGGCTGGCCGGCGTTGACAGCCAGCGCCAGCGTGCGCCAAATGGTCGTCTTGCCCGAGCCCGCAGGCCCGAGCAGCATGACCGAGTGCCGGACCTTGAGCAGCTGATCAAAGTCGACGACCTTCTTGACAAAGAGCTCTTCGGGCTGAAGGCCCTGGGCGACGCAGACCGACGCGCAGCTCGACCGAATGGTTGCATCGCCCGACGGTGCGTCCCCGGCAACGCACGCGGGGAAGAGGTCGTGAAGAAGGCCCAGGAACGTGGGCACGTCGCGCGTGGGGAGCTTTGGGAGGTTGAAATCCCGCAGCGCGCGCAACAGAATCGTGTCTTCGTCGCAGGTTGGGTCGGCGCGCTTGAGACTCCCGGCGACAAGAAGCACGGATTTCACAGCGCGGAGACCCCAGTCGTAGTGCACTTGTTTCGAGAGGAGCTCCGAGCTGAGCTGGTACAAAGTCACAAATTTCTTGGCGAGGATTCGAGCCCGCAAAAACCCTTCCGACATGAGCATATTTTCGCAAATCGGCTGCACGTCCGGTCGAATCATGGCACACGATCGAAAGAGCGCCTTTAGGTTCTCGGGCAACTCGGTGCGGCCGGCGTAGCCCGGGTTCATCGTGATGAAGAAGCCGACGGTCGGGACGAGCATGATTTTCTTCCCCGAGAAGAGGAAGCTGCCGACCTTGACGGGCGGCGTGCCTGCCGGTGCGCCTTGGTAGTCGACGTCGCGGTTGGCCGGCAGTGCCAGCCACGTGATGGCATCGAGCACGGTCTTGACTTGGGTCGCAACCACAGAGAGGACCTCGACGTTGATGCGGTTGAATTCGTCAAAGCAGCCCCACGCGCCCGTCTGCGACAAGCCGCGGAAAATGTCGGCCATGGTCTGGTAGTTCATTTGGTCCGAGCAGTTGAAGACGTAGCACATCAAGCCCATGCCTCGTGCAAGGTCCTTGGTCGTCTCGGTTTTGCCCGTCCCTGCGGGCCCCGCCGGTGCCCCGCCCAAGTGCAATCGAAGGGCCGTTGTCATGGTGACGTAGCACCGATCGGTCAACGGCGTAATGACGAGACGGCCGCAATTCCCAATGTACTCGTACGAATACGTAGCTCGGAAGTCGCACAGTCGGATAGCGACGTGCTTGGTCGTCTGTGGCTCGAGATAGTAGTAGCGGAGCTGCGATTGCCACGTAAAATCGAGTGCCGACGACACCTTCTTTGTGACAAGCGACGCAACCACGTCCCGTGCGTGGACGTCGACCGTAATGACTGTGATGACCTTCATGCGGTCGAGCCGTGTCATTTCACCTACATGCATATAGTCAACGAGAATAGGATGTCCTGACGAACCTTGGACGAGCTTGATGAGGTCGTCGAGGCGGGCGTTGCACGTGTCCAGGTACTTTTTCAGTGCGTCTTCTTGACCACCCTCGAGCTCTTCGAACGCCGACTCGGTCTCTTCGGTCCACACGATCTGCGATCCGAGCAGGCTCATTTGCGCAGGGTAGTCCATGACCCACGCATACCGCGCGACGTCCAATCCCCACGCCGACGACGCCTCGAGCGCGTCGTGCACGATCGTCTTGAGCATGAGTTGCATCATGAGCAAAAGGTCGTTGAGCCAGAGTTCGACCGGTGTCCCGTTCGCGATTGCAAAAAGCGATGGGAATGCCACGACTTCGCCTTCTTTCGATGTGACGGAAATGGCCGAGAGCGGCAATGCATTGGGCTCAAAGTTGAGCACGCGAATCCCGTCAAAGCAGTCGCCTAAATGCGGCTGGATCTTGAGCGGGTCGTTGCCGTTGGAGAGGATTTCGAGCAACGCCGCGTTCGAGACAAAGTAGAAGCGCGGGAAGACGTCCTTCTTCGCATCGAGGTACTGGTTGAGCGCTTTTTGGCACACTTCGAGCTCGGCGTGGATGTCCCGAAGCACGCTCTCTCGGTCATTCTCGCCTGCACACGCCTGCAGAATGGCCAAGTGGCCTTGGACATCGATGTAGAGCTCCTTCAGCGTCGCATCCACCGCTTCAAAGCGCTTGGTCTCTTGCGGCAACTGCAGCCGAATGTCTTGGGAGCTCAAAAAGATGCGTTCGAGCGAGAGCCACGTTTGCTGCACTGTAAACCAGAGCTTGAGTACGCTCTCGACGTTGCCGAGCGTCTGTTGCCAGTCGAGGACCTTGTCGCGAAAGTACTCGACAAACTTGCCAAGACCCGCCATTGTTTGCAGCAGCAATTGCTGCTCTTCCAGTGTCTCAATGATGGCGTCGGTCTGGGAGGCCTGCAACACCTGCGTACCGTTCGGGTACGGCACGACCACGAGGCTCCAGTTGGCCCACACGTTTGCAATGTGGGCGAGGTCTGTCTCGATCTTGAGTTCGCGGTTGGCCATTTCGACAATGTCTTGGACTTCGGTCTCAAACCGATACAAATCGAGCTTGAAGAGGTCGTCGAGATGCAGACTGCTGTCGACGCTGCTGGTTGGAAGCAGCCAAGTCGCGTGGTTGCGCGGTTTCGTGACGTGCAGCAAGCTCTTCCAGTGCCGCTCGCGCATCGCCGACGAGTGGAGGATCTCAATCAGCGGCAACGTCGCGCCCATTTGCCTCAAATTGCTCTCGACAGTCTTGTAGATGGGCCAGTCGCGCGTGCGCACTGGGCACTTGAGGAGGAGGCTTGTCTTAGCGCGCACCACGTCGAGAAGCGCTTCGATCGATGCGTCTTGCCACAAGAGCGCTTGCCACGTGTAGAACGTCATGGCATTCTCATCGAGAAGCTGCCACACGCGGCTGAGGAGCGTCAAGTCGCTCCGGCACGTCTCAAGGCCGTCAAATGTCATTGGCGCAAGCTCAAACATGTCTTCGAGATTGCGGAGCCGCCGCGCCTCGGCCTCCATCTCGAGCAGCTTGGCATCGACCGTCGAGAGCGCGTCGTTCGCGCTCGCTACAACGACGTCGAACGCACTCGAGTCGACGACGAGCGCGTCATAGCTGAACGGTGCTTTTTGCACAAAGTCCTCGCGGAACGCAGCGACGCGCTTGTGAAAGACATTGAGGTCGAGCTTGATGGCCTCGACCGCGTGGTTCTGGACCGGAGCTATCACTTCTTTCTTTTTGAACGTCTTGTTGACCATGTTGTCCCATCGCATTGGAGCTTGCTCGAGACACGTCATCGCGGTTTCTTTGCCGACATAGGATGCATCGAGGTTGATGCCGTGCGTTTTGAGGAGCGCAACAATGTCGCGGAGGGGCCCAAACTGCACTTGCTTGAGCTGCATGAGACGCCGGACGTTCTGGATGTGGCCCATGACGGCCATGAGCGCGTTCGTGTCGCTCACGTCACGCTCAAGACCACTTGTGACGCGTCCGACAAAGTCGTCCATCCACGTGAGCTGGTTGATGACGCGATCGTGCAGAAATTGCGTAAACATGTAGACCCACTTTGTGACCCACGTGCTGAGCGCTTGCTTGATCGGAAGCGAGTTGACGCGCACGAAGCAAATATCGCGCGAGTGCTTGGCTTCGCTGATCTCGTTCTGGAGGCCAAGGTAGAGTCGGATTTTCTCATCGAACTGCGTCAAGTCGAGGTTGGGGCCCGACATGTCGACGCTGGTGCGATCCGGTGCCGGCACGTCCGCGGGGACCCACGCCGACGCCAAGAACGTACTGAACATCGCGTTGAGGTCCGTGCTCCAGAGGTACTCGTACTTCATCAGGTCCTTCTTGTATTGGAGGCAGATGGTTTCTTGGGTTGCACAGCTCGCGACAATGTCGGCGATGCACTTTTGCACTTGGGGGTGTTCGCGGAGCTCTTTGAGATACGTGCCGTCGGACGTATCGAGCCGCTTGAAGAGCGTTGTGATGTGCAGAATGCCCTCAATCCAGCGACCAGCAACGTCCTTGATGCCGACTTTGGACGGTGCACTGCCGATGGGCGGCGCAAACACAATGTCTTTGCCAAACAAGTCGAGCTCAATCTCTAGCAGCGGCGTCAAATCGTGCGTCTCGATCGTTCTTGGGTCGAGTTGCGACCCGAGGTACGCGAGCGAGTTCAAAACGACTTTGGTCAATCCGTCTTCGACAATGCCGTTGACAAAGTCGACGTACGCCCGCCAATCGGGCGAACCCTGGCTCACCTTGAGCTTCTTGAGCGTATCTTTCAAAAGCCGGTGGATCTCGTTCCCGCCTTCTTTGACCTGCTGGTACTTGGCCAAGCGTGTCGGTGCTTGGCTCTCGTCAAACTCGGCCACACTCATGGGCTTGCTCCGGCGCTCAAAGAGCGTTCCTACAGATTTCGTTCAATGCACTGACGAGACTGGTGCCGACGCATAAGTACCGTAGCACCAGCTCTCGAGCAGCTCGTGGACGCGCGCCATGTGGCTCTTCATTGCATCGAGGAGTGCCGTCGCCTCGTGCACGTCGGTCATCGAGTCTTTCAAGAACATATCAATGCCGTGCGATTTCCAGTTGAGCGACCGAATGCCACGCGCCAGAATCTGGTCAATCTTGTCCAGATGCGCTTTCACCAGCGGCCGCTCGACAGGCAAGAGTGTCGTGTGCACGCGGTTGTACATGTCCACAATCAGATCCAAGTTGCCCGTTTGCCGGCGGAAGATTTCGGCTTTGCGGTAGATCGCCATTGCCTCTTCGGGCACTTCGAGGCCGAGACTCAAAAAGTACTTGACTTCGCGCAAGAGCTGTACGAGCGCCGGGTCGAAGTTGACAAAGACGAGACCCGACTCGGCCTCCTTCCGGAGCAATGGCAGCTTGAGCTTGGACTTGCTAGAGATTTCAATCGAGTGCGCCCACGTCTTGACGCTCGCGCTCTCAAACTCCATGAGCGACCCGACCAGCGTCGTGTACATCTTGATGACGTCTTTCGAGTCTTCGCGCTCGAGGATCGCGCGGTTGAGCCACTTGAGCTTCTCCATGGGATACCCAATGCGGTCGCGGAGGCCGCGCGCCCACGCGACGGCGCCAGCGAACGGCGGAAAGTTGTACCCGATCGGCGGACTCTCGCGCTTCTCGACAAAGACTTGCTGTACAGCATGGAGGTCGGCGCTGTACGCTGCAATCAGAATTGCATGCTTCTTCTCCAAATCGTTCTTGATGATGGGTCTACGCCATGGTGTGAAACGCTAAACAAGTCGCAAAATCAATACCGCTCGAGGAGATCGTCGAACGAGTCGAGGAGCTTGAAGCGGCCCGTGATGGACGTCGCGTCATCAAACGCTTGGTTGACAACGCTGGCCAAGCGTCGCTCGAGCTCCTTGTTTTTCGATCGAAACTCGTAAAAATCGTCGTCAAAGCCTTTCGCGTCAATGTCCAGAAGGTCATATGCGACGTTCTGCACGACAACGACTGTGTCGGTAAAGTCGGCATAAATCTGCTGCACGGACGTCGTGAGCGTCTTGCCCTTCGTGCCGCCCACCTACACTCAAACGTTGATATCACCATCATGTATCAATGTATCGACTTCGATTTTGGCGAGCTTGCCAAACTGGACAATCGTCTGCGTGAGTTCGAGCACGTCGTGGCAGCGCTCTAAGAACGCATCGAGGCGAATAAAGAGCGCGTTGTTCTGAATGCGCCATTGGTTTTGCGGGCACTCGGTGTTGGCTTTGGCCTTGTAGTCAAAGTACACTGCTTTATAGTGTGCACAGACGCGCAGCGTCGTCTTGAGGTTCTCGAGCGCGCGCGGCGTCTCGTCGGCCGCCATGAGCTCAAACAGCATCGCGCCGTTCATGTAGGCAAACGCCTATAATCATCCATAAGCATCATATCAGATCGTAGTTGGGCGTACCTTGCGAATGAGCTCGTTGCAAATGTGCCGCACGAGCACGACAAGCCGCGGTGGCGTGTTGTAGAAGCGGCTCCATTTCCAGACAAGAAGAATCGAATGCATCATGGGCCGGAAGAGATCGACGAGCACTGTAAAGGTCGTCTCGCGCTCCATTGCATGGAACCTACAGATCATGAGCATGGTACAAGTCGTTCAGAGACGGACCAAGGCAAGAGGGGAGCGAGGAAGAGGACATTGTCGTTGGCCTCGGCGCGCGCGTGGAAGACCTCCTTGCAGAGTTTGGCGAACGGTACGTTGTACGTGCTCTTGGTCGCGTCGAGGTACTGGAGCACCTTCCGGATGCTATCGCTCTGGAGCTGGTCAAAGATCGAGTTGAGATTCCGCGCTTTCCCGAGCCAGAACCGGTTCTCCTCGGACGGACCAGGATGCAAGCCCTTTTCGTTGGCGTTCAGGAGCGTCTCGGGATCTTGCTTGAGGATATTTTTGATCTGCTTTGTCCACGTAATGAGACACCCTTCGAGCACGTGGACTTGGTCCTTGACGTGTCCGCCGTGGTCTAAGTCGTCGCCAAATGTCTTGGACGTCGACTGCTCGGGCGGCAGCGGCAGGCACGTCTCGCCTTTCGTTTGCCCAAGCGTAATCTGCAAGCTCGAAAGAAAGAGCTGGAGGTTCTCCGAGATGGAGGTCGCGACCATTTCCGGCCATGCGTGCTGGTTGCCGCTGTGCGAGACAAGAGGCACAAAGACGTCCTGCATCATGCGCGCCATGGTCTCGAGCACGCTGCGGTTGAGCGAGCCCGCGAGAAGCTCGGCGGCAATGTGCTCGGCCGAGACTGCGCTTTTTGCGACCTTGATGAGGTAGAAGATGTCGCTTTGCGCCTTGGCCGTCGCGGCCTGGATCGATTGCGCGATCGTAAATCGGCCGGCACTGGCCTCGTACACGAGCAAAAGGCGGCTCTCGCTGGCGCCGAGAAACTCGAGGATCCGCTGGCGCGTCGTATCGCTCGTCACAAAGCTGTGCACGTGGTCCAAGTTGGACGCGCGGAAGGCCGTCTCGAGGAGACGGCTGACGTACTCGACGCGGCCGTCCGGCGCGTTGTTGCGGCTGCCACGCCGAGCGTCGATGTCGACCGCGGCTCCGGCTTCCGCCATGCGAGATCTTGATACGACGCTTCGCGGCTGTGTCCGGATAACGACTGAATAGTGTACTACCTAAGCTACTGTTACTAGGGGAATAGTGTAATATCAAAATACTGTGAAAACGCTTCTCACAAACACCGTGGCGGTTTCAAACGGGGTGAATTCGCACGGCTAAGACGCCCTTGACGTTGTCGATCCACGTCGATGATGCCACCAAATAGCAGCAGTACTGTACTAGTAGCATTGCTAGTGTCGTCCGAGCAGTCAGTGTGCACTGCATGTCGACTGAGCCTGGGACGTTGTGTTTTTTGAATCAAGGAATTTGCACCAACTAACTAGAGCTAGCCGACGCTATGTCAGCGGTCAGTGCCTCAAAGCGGCAGGTTGCTGCTATAATAAAGCCGACGATAATATGGTATTTGAAAAAGGAATCAGAGACGCCACGCTAACTCGACTTTAGCTATGCAAGCATCCTAGCTCGACGGAGGGCACGATCACTGGTCAAGATCATGGAGAACGGCCTCTTCAGAGAGCCAAGCGCTATAAATAAGATGTCGTCTCTAATCTGGCGTCGGATTGGCTCCCGAAGAGGCGTGAAACCCCTGGCATTTCCGCGTGTAACCTCAAATTTGCAAACCCAACCGTGACCATTTGGTGTTTGGAGCGAGCAGACGACGAAGACCGCCACTCGACACAATGGATCCAGTCGTGAGTCCATCGCAACGCTGTGCATACAAATCGGGCAAGTGCACGAATGCGCGCACGCGCAAACTCAACGGTGGGCAGCACTCGCTCTGCGCGGTCCACCGAGAAAAGCAGAACGCCCACCAGCGCAAGAGCGACCGAAAAGCGCGCCAGCGCAAAGTGATGCAGTTGGCCGCCGATCCGTTCGTGTCATCGACACCGTTCATGCAAATGATCACGCACATGCCCAAGGCCTACGACGCCATCTCGTCCCCCGGCGTCCCCGTGGTGAAGTACGAGCCGTATTGGACCAGCCACGTCGGGGACCAGGATCAACAACATCAGCACATCGATGTTTGGTGGACGCACCGCCGTGCCACGATCGTACCGACAAGCGCTATCGCGGTCTACAGCGAGTTCCCAGAGTCTCAATATTCCGACGCTTGGCTGTCGTCAGACGAAATCAAGCCGCAAGCGCAGCCCGTGCGATTGCCATCGATCCGCGAATTATTGCACCCCGTGTACGCCCGCGACTTGTTTCCGTCCCACACGGCAGCTTGAAGACTACGTTCTGCCATTGTACATGCTTACTATATATGAATTTGCTCGGAGCAATAGACCCTTTTACGTGGTAAATGGTAGCAACTCAATCTCGTACACCTCTTCACGTCAGATTTCATACCACCAGCACAATGTGTGCCTTTAGCTTGCTTCAACCGCGAGACGGTTTACAAAAGCCAAGCGAGAGGTCATTATCTCATGCTCCTATGCGAGACAACGAGTCATGTTCTATTTATTGGACGCTAACGACCTTACGACCGCCATGCTTGCAGCACGAAACCACTCGCCGTCGACGACTCGTTGCACCACTTAGATCTATTGCATTAAAAACTATTACCCGCCTTTTCTTCACCAATCAAAAGCGTCGGTGGTGCTCTTTCATACGGAAAACGTCCCGCAGTGCGGTTGATCAAGTGTGAACGACCAATGGTAGTATGCAAAGATTCAACGCATATGCAAACCATATCTTGGGTACAGAACACATACTTTCACATGGGCCCGTCGCCCAAGCCTTTGGTACGTACTACGTTCGACTATCGACGACGGAGAGATTAGTGCAGTAGTCCAGAGGGCGCACGAAACGCGGGACGACATCGCGACGCTTGGGCTCCACCAATGGCAGTGCGCCATTGCGATCCGCCGTTTTATTGGCCAGCATTTCTCTCTTATCTCATAGTATCACCGCGCTTTGAGAGAGATGCTCCAGGAGCGTATTCGGATGCGCCGGTTACCGCACACTCGGATTTCGCCAAGTGCCATGGCGACTAAAATGGACGGCGGAGCGCGCCGGCAGATCCCGATCGTGTGCCCCGGGCACTCGCGGCCGCTCACGGAGGTGCAGTACTGCCCGCACCCGACGCCGAACCCAGTGCCGGGCGACGCCGACGCGTCGCACTACCTCCTCATCTCGGGCTGCCACGACAAGCTGCCGATGCTGCGCTGCGGCAAGTCGGGCAACTGGATCGGGACCTTTGAGGGCCACAAGGGCGCCGTGTGGTCGGCCAAGCTCAACAACGACGGGACGCGCGCGATCACGGGCAGCGGCGACTTTAGCGCCAAGCTCTGGGACGCGGTGACCGGCGACAACCTGCGCACGTTTGACCACAAGCACATTGTCAAGAGCGTCGAGTTCATCCAGGGTGGCGCATGGGTGGCCACGGGCGGCCAAGAGAAGCTTCTCCGCGTCTTTGACCTTGCGGCGACGACCAACGACCCGCTGTACACGATGACGTGCGACGAGGGCATCCGCAAGATCGTCGAGATCCCAGGCCAAGCCGCGGTGACGGTGGCGACCGGCGACACGGCCGGTAGGTACAGCGATGCATGGCCTTGTATCTCATGGAGAATGCATAGGCAACGTCGTGGTGTGGAACGTCGAGACGCAAACGCGCATCGCGACCTTTGCCGTGGACAAGGTTGGCGGCGTCATGGACATGGAGGCCTCGCGCGGTGGCCGCGTGCTCACAGTCGCGGCCGGCTCGCACGTGTCGTTCTTTGATACGACGAGTTGGACACTCCTCTTTGATGTGGCCATGCCGATTACGTTCAATGCTGAAGGCGGTGCGTCGCTTCACCCGACGCTCGACCGCTTCGTCGCCGGCGGCTCGGACACGTGGGTCCGCGTCTTTGCGTGGGAAGCAGGAAAGGGCCACGAGCTAGAGTGTCACAAGGGCCACCACGGCCCCGTGCGTTGTTTGCGGTACGCGCCGAACGGCGAGAGCTTTGCGACCGGGTCGGAAGACGGCACGATCCGCATCTGGCAGACAACATCGGCCGTTCGCTTGGAGTAGTCAGTCAATGTTAAAGCTCGATATGAAGAAGATGATGAGAACACATGTCTCTTGCTTAGGCCACTTGGCGGGCGTACCACTTGAGGATCTCGGCGTACTCGAGGTACCCCGTGTTGTTGGCGTCCAGAAGCATCACGACGGCCTCGAGCTCGGCTTCGGTCACTTCCACGTTCAAGTCTACGCCACGTAAATGCCTTCATCAAGCCGCAAGTAGGAGCTACCTTGGACGACGAACGTGCGCAGCTCCCGCGCCTCCATGCGCCCGTTCATATCGACGTCGTACTGCTCAAAGAGCTTGCGGAAGTTCTCGATCTCGGCGACCGAGAGCTTGCCGTTGAGCGCTTCCGCAGCTTTTTCCTGGAACCAGTGGAGTGAGAATGCGATGATGTCGGCGGGCGACGCGCGGATGACGTCCTTCGTCCACTCCTTGAGGATCAGCGGCAGCTCGACGGGCACCGCGATCTGCTCGGCGCTGAAGATGCGATTCACGTCCATGAAACCAATTTGATTGCTCTTGGATGCAACGGCCGAGCATCCACTGTTTTAAATTCTGTTTCAGTGTCCTAATTAGGACTTTGTTTAATCAGAAGCACAGGGAATTCCACCCATTGGTTCGGGATTGGATCCCATTCACATCAACTCGCGATGCAAGGACTGCGCGTGACGACGACCGCGCTTCGCCGGACCATGGCGCTGCGCCGCCTCCAGGCGACGCCGCTGCTGCAGAGAGCCTTTGCATGTGGCACATCAGGCGCAAAGGACAAGACGAAGTTGATGGCACCCAAGAAGCCCCGGCCGGCCGACCAGTATGTCAACCCGTCTGGCATCGACTTCCACCACGATGCGCTCAAGGCCTTTCTGAGCGTGAACGATCCGACAGCCGACGAGGTCGATGTGGCCAAAGACCAGATCGCAGATGCGCTCGAGAGCCTGCGGCCGGACATGCTCGGTCCCGAAGCCACGGTCTTGTCCTTGGCGGCGGACAAGGTGGCCGACCCTGCGCTCGTCTTGCATGTCTACCGCGCGCTCCGCCAAGCGCGCGTCCAACCGGCGCCGCTCGTGCTTGAAATCTCGGCCCGGTACTGCGCCTTAGCATCGAATGACGCCAATGCGTGGAACACGGCGCTCGACATCATCGACGAGATGCACGACGCCGTCCACCTCATGGGGCCGTCCGCCGACATTTACGAGCACGGAATCAACACGTGTGCCCAAGCCGGCAAGTGGATCGTAGCCTTGCGTCTTCTCAACGAAATGCGACGCTACAACCTCGAGCCCTCCGGCGACGCGCTCGTCATGGCCGGTCAGTGCTGCATTGCCGCCAACGAGCTCACGGCGCTCGACAAGGTGCTGCAGATGATCGCAGCCGACAAGGAGTACCTGGACGTCGACAACGTATACGAAAAGCTGCTGTTGACCGCCGTCGGCCAAGAGAACGCCGCCATTGCCCACCACGTGCTGCTGCACATGCACGAGTTCAAGCAGCCGACGACCAGCCTTCGGGCTGTCTCGGCGTTCTGGCAGTCGCTCACGCGCCCTTCCTCGCAGGCGCCAGTCCTCGAGCTCACGCCGGCGCACCAAGTACAGGCGATCACGGCCTTTGCAGCCGACCAGCTCTGGATCGAGTTGCACCAATGGCTTCCGGTCCTCGGGTTTCCCGACTACATGGGCGCCGACGCATACGCGACGTCGACCCACTACATGAAGATTGCGTTTCACATTGCGTCGTACCTCGAGGCGCGTGGCGTCGGCATGGACGGCACGTTCTACGATGCGCTTCTCCAAGGCTGCGGGCGGCATCAGATGCTGTCCGAGGCCCAGACGCTTCTTGCTTCGCATCCCAGCGTCACCATCTCGTCCTACTACTTTGCCATCACGGCGTGCCAGGCGCAGGCGCGGGACGCCGAAGCTCTCTTTGACGCGTACTCGGTCGCGGGCATTGACGGTATCGGGCGCCACATCAAGCACAAGCACACGCACGCCGACATCTGCGACGCGCTCATTACGAGCTGGAGCAAGGCGCGCGAGTCCCGCAAGATCTTGGCGTTTGCGACGACGCTCCCGGCCGAGATGCTGCACCATTCGCGGACGATGGGCTTGGTCATGCAGGCCGCGCGCAATGTCGAAGACTATGCGACCGTCGTTGACATCTTCCAGCAAGCCAAGGTGCACGGCGTGAAGTGCTCGGCCCACATGTATGCTGATGCGATGCTTGCGTACGCGCGCACCGAGCGCAGCCGCCTTAGCATGCGCCTGTACGCCCACATGCAGCTCGAAGAGCCCATGCTCAGTGTCCACCCTGTGGTACGCTTGCGTCAATGAACTCGAGTCATGTGACAAGGCGCGGTAGGTCATCAACATGCTCTTCCAGTGCGCCAACGCCTCGCCAGACGATATGATGGACGTGGTCGTCGATGCCTTTCACAAGATGGACCGCGCGACGAGCTCGACGACGCTGCAGTCGCAAGGCGTCATGGCCTTTCTTGACGTCCTGGCCAAAAGCAAAGCGTAAACCCCGTAGGTGTGCAATGGAGCTAAGCCGTGGCATAGACTGCCGCGCGCCAAGTTGGCGGCCATGCACGACGTGTGGCAAGTCGTCATCGAGTCGCCCGAGGTCTACACGGCGCGGGACGGCACGCGCCCGCCCAACATGCTCAACAAGGCGCTGTTGCTCGCTGTCAACGCCTTTGATATCGATGCGGCCGAGAACCTCGTCATTTCAGCCGAAGACGTGGGCATTCGCCCGTCGCCGGTCACGTGCCAGCTCATGATGCGGCTGTACAGCCAGGCCGAGGACTTGTCGCATAACGCGCTGCTCAAGGACAAACCGGCGTATCCGGACCGCTTTGAGTTCTGGTGGCGCGCCTTCCAGGACCAGCACGACGCCGTTGTCAACGAGCACACGCTCGGACCGCTCTTGCTGGCGCTCGTGCGGGGCATTCCGCTGCGCGCGATTCGCGGACGAGGTCCGTTCACGGTCGACGACGCCTGGACGCTCATGGAGACCCAATCGATTCCGCTCACGCGCCACAATGCCGAGTACTTGATGCGGATCTACGCGCTTGACGGCGGCGAGGGCTATGACGGCGCCTGCCGCGTCATGAACCTCATGCACGACCGCAATCTGCGCCACACGCCCACGTCCCTCCAGCTCTTTGCGCAGATGGCCCTCGCGTCTGGAAACAGCGAGCGCCTCGACCAGCTCGTCGAGTTTCTGGATGCGCAAGACGACGATGCCATTGACCTTTGGCACGCGGTCGCCGACGTCATTGCGCATGCGGACCTGCGGCTGCGCTTCTGGCAGGCGCACTACGACCGCTTCGCGTGTACGCTCCACGCGCGCACGCTCGCCCTTGGACTGACCAAGTGCGATTCGGCCACCGAGCTCCGCGAATCGTGGGAGTGGCTCCAGCAGGCCGAGAGCGCGCCGACTTTGCTACTGCGCGCGGACCAGGCGTCGGCGCTGCGGTCGCGCCTCGTCGCATGGGGCGAGTCGCCCGACGACGCGGCGTGGGCCTTGCTGCTGGCGCGCGTATAGGCCGTCCATCGCGCCTCCATAGAGTCCTCGCCGTCCTCCTCCTGCCACTTCCATGACGTCGTCCGATACGGGTCCTCTTCATGTTCTCTTCTTCGTGTTGCGCAATGCGATCCAAGCTGGCACCGCTTGGTTGACGGGATAATACAATGCCACCATTTAATTCTACATACAAAACGCAAGCTATTCGGCACGAAATAGAAATCGCAGCAGACCGCTTGTAGAGACCCGGACTGCACCCGGCGTTTTTGAATACCCTCTCATACTGCATGCAAAGAAGAATCTAGTTCTGATAGTAGTCAGAGCTGTGAAAACCTGTCAGAATGCATACGATCTATATACATATACCTGGGGCGCCCCGCGCCGTCACCGACCACGGTCGGAGCCATTTTTGCTTGGGCGTTCCCGACGGTATTGGCAGCATGGACGAGATGGGCATTGACCGCAAGATCGTCATCCTCGGGTGCACGGACACGGGCAAGACGTCGCTGACGATCCGGTACTGCCACAACAACTTTGCGACGCCGACGGCCGCGACCATCGGCGCGTCCTTCCTCCAGAAGCGCATTCTCGTCGACCGGCAGAAAATGACGCTGCAGATTTGGGACACGGCCGGCCAAGAGCGCTTCAAGTCGATGGCCTCCATGTACTACCGCAACGCCAAGGCCGCGATCCTCGTGTTTGACGTGACAAAGGAAGACACGTTTGACAAGGTGCGACCGTTTGATGCTGGGCGACGCTAAGCTGAACGTAGGTCAAGGAGTGGCTGAGCGAGCTGCGAAAACACGTCGACAGCGACATTGTGCTGGCGCTTGTCGGCAACAAGTGCGACCTCCCGACAAACTTTAACTTTGGCCTCGCCGAGACGTACGCGCGCGAGATTGGCGCGACGGCCCACCGCACGAGCGCGCAGTCGGGCCACGGCGTGACCGAGATGTTTGAGACAGTCTCGCGCGGCCTCTTGGCGCAGTATTTGGACAACGAGCAGAAGGCGACGACGCCCCAAGCGCGGACAGACCCGCTCGATAAGATTAGCGTCGTGCCACCGCCGCCGAAACCCAAGCAGCGGTCGTGTCCGGGCTGCTAGATAAGACAAAGATAAAGTAGAGAAGTTGACCCGCGCGATAAAGGATATGTAAGCGGCGACACCGCCATGGTACAGTAGTCTCTTGTCTCTCTTGTTGGCGACCTCGCAGCCCGAAACCATCGAAACGGAATTCCATCGCGATGGTCGAGGACGGGCGACGCCAAGTGCTCCTGCACGGCTTGGTCTTTGCGTCAACCTTTGATTCGGGCAACCTGCAGACTGTTGTCTACGACGCCGGCGCGAGCGAGTATGTGGTGACGGCGGCGCCCGACCCGGCACGGACGCCGTCGCCCACAACCTGGTTTTACTTTTCCATCTCGAACCTGGCGCCGCACCAAAGCATTGCCTTGCGCGTGCGCAACCTCGTACGTCATGTGGCCTTGTACGACCAAGACATGCGCCCAGTCACGCGCGCTCTGCCGTCGCAGCGCAAGTGGGAGCGGCGTACGTCCACTGACACGACACGAGATGAAGTAACCTCTCGCTAGTGCACACCAGCGTGGGCATGACGCCGTCGGACCCCGACTTTTCCATCACGTTTCGCCTCACGGCGCCGATGCCCGGCGACGTGGTCTACGTCGCGTTCACGTATCCGTATGCGTACGCAGATCTGCAGCGCTCGCTACGCCGCCTCGACGCCGACATGGCGGCGCGCGACGACCTCTACTACTGCCGCGAGACGCTCGTGACGTCATTGGACGGACACAACGTGGACCTGCTCACGCTCTCGTCTCGGCGCCAGTACGACTGCCGAGAATGACGTGTGCCGACCTCACGGCGTCGTAGTCTGGTCGACGCCTGCGAGCCGACAGTGCCAGAGCTGTTTCCAGAGCACGATGCAGTCTCGGCGGTACGACGCGATATTAGTGCAATCTCAAAGAATGAGGCGGGTAGCCACGGTCGAGGCTGTTTCAAACGAAGCGGGTCGTCGTGCTCACAGCGCGCGTGCACCCGGCCGAGACGCCATCGAGCTACGTGGTCGACGGCGTCCTCGCGTTTCTCGTCAAGCGCGACGACCCGCGCGTCGTCGCTTTGCTGGACGCCTTTGTCTTCAAGATCATCCCCATGCTCAACCCGGATGGTACGCTGAACGATGAACCGACAGGACAAAGACGTCGTAGGCGTTGTACGCGGCTACTACCGGCACGACACTCTGGGCCAAAACCTCAACCGGTACTACGACGCGCCGACCCTGGAGGCACAACCGACCATCTACGGCGTGCGCCACTGGTTCCTCGCATTGGTATGCTTGTGACGCTCGACATCATCTTGCGATCGCCAGGTAGTGCGACGCTGAGGCGCCCAGCGTGTACGTTGACCTGCACGCGCACGCGGCGAAGCGCGGGTGCTTCATTTACGGCAACCGTCTCGAGTCCATCGACGCGCAGGTGGCGACGCAGCTCTTCCCCAAGCTTGTCGGACTCAACTCGGCTCACTTTGAGTACGACCAGTGCACCTTCACGGCCGAAAACATGGTCATGGTCGAAAAGCGCGACGGCGGGTACGTCGTCGACTAGAAAAATTCAATCAACTAACTAGAAATTGCGGAGGCTGTCCAAGCAAGGCTGTGCCCGCGTCGCCTTGCACAATGCGACGAAGGCCGCGCACCCGAGTTTGCACTTTTACACGCTCGAGTGCAACTACAACAGTGGGCGCAAGCCGGGGCGTGTGCCGCCGACCGGGACCTGGGCGCCCCGCGGCGTCAAAGCGTCTGGTAGTTTCAATGTATCAACTTGAGAGCCGACTGATGTTAGGTCCTTTGAGCCCCGAAGTCGCGGCCCGGTCGTATTTGCCCAAATACACGCCGGCTGCGTGGGCCGATGTTGGCAAGGGTCTCATGCTGGGTCTCTTGGACCTCTACGGCCTCAATCCGTGTTCGCGCCTTCCGCAGTCGTCGTGGCGGACGCTGGCCGGCGTCGTGCAGGAAACCCGCCGACAAGTCGCGCCAACGTTCATCAAGACACCGGCCTCGGCGTCAGCGTCCTCGGCAATCGAGAAGCGCAAGAGCAGCTTGCGCAGCAGCAACCAAGACGAGACATTATCCACCCAAGTCCGCGCCATCAAGGCGGCACCGGGCACCGTCCGCCTCCAAAAGCCACTCTTGCGTCGTCAATCAACGTCCAAGTAGAAGCGAACATGCAGAGAGCGACGCCCCAAACCACAAATTGTTTCGTGGATAATGCCCTGTAAATAGTCGTTTATAATGACGTTGGCGCAGGAGAGGACAACGAGGTGTGTCGCAAGAGCAGTCGCTTTTCCTTCCTACACCATTGTATTCGTTGGGTATCGCTACAGCACAGCGTGAGAGTACCAAATGACAAAGTCGGACGCGGCGCTCGCCAGCAGATGATCTTTGGCTTTTTGAATATAACTCATTTCGGCCTTGGCGACGCCGAGTGCGTCAAACGCCGTGCGATAGGCCTAGACGCCACATGGGTGGCTTGCTCTACAGGCTTGGGACTACCTTTTTGGCCAGCTGGAGTGCTTGAACGTGGCGACCACGGTCGTCCTCGTTGCCGGCATCGGTTTCGCTGAGCGCCTTGGTCACCGCATCAATTTCACTAGAAATACTACATAAATGGTCTTCTTTTCAGCAGACAAGTATGTACCTTTTGGCGACGTTGACGTCGTTGGCGCACTGCACGACACGCTTCTTGGCCTTTCGAAAATTTTGTTTGGCGTCGTCCAGCTGCGTTTGCATGAGCTCCGCGTACTCGCGCTGCAGCTCGTCGTCGGACAAGGGAGTGCAGTCGAGATCGTGTCGGTTTAGCGGCACATCGTCTTCGTCCTGCGGTTCGTCAGGTGGCGGCGGCTTCGTCTCGACAACGGTCGTCGTTAGCGCCACGTCTCGAAACAGGCGGAGCATCGCTCGTATCTGAACGACATTGACGATGGGCAGCTCCAGCGAGGCATCCGCGACATAAGCTTGGATCGCGGCTTTCATTTCGGCCTCGGTCTCAGGGGGTATCGCAGCGTCGTACGACACGTGACTCCGACCCGCCAGCGTGTCGTGCAGCGCGAGCTCACTTTTGAGCCGTTTGATTTCATCGACGTACTTTTTGACCGACGCCGTCGACGGATCCGCGCTATTGACGACCGCCGACGTCTTGACACGCATCATGCGCGTGGCAAATTTGAGGGTTGCGATCGTCTGGTCGTTCTGGGACTCGTCGGGCCAGACGCAAGCCACGAGAAGGGTGCGGCAGTTGCCCCCGAGCGAGTCTTTTCTACGCCAAAGCGTGGTGTTGGCAAGGGATCAATGTTTCAAGTTGATACAAGAGGTTGGTGAGCGTGGTTTGGCGGTACGGAATGTGCTCGCGCTTCTGGTCGCCCAGCGCAATGACAACTTGTTCCAGAAACGTCAGCGACTTGTTGATATGCATCGTCTCCTTGAGCATCGTGCCTGTCACTTGGGTCTTCTTCATGCGCTCCGAGCCCTACCCGATGACGACGATGCCGGCGAAGGTATTTGCGCGAGGGAGACGCACCGCGAGGTCGACGAGGTTGAGTTTGCTTACAACAAGAGGGCTCTTGGTACTGTCATCGGCACTGCGCTTCTCAATGTGCAAGCTAAAGATGCAATGCGACCTAATCGACAATTTGCGTTATGAAAAGCATTCAAAACTTGAGGTTTCGCACCGCGTCGAGGCGTTGTTGAGGCAGTGCTCGGCGATCGTGCGGTTCGTGTCGCCTTGAAAGAGCAAGTCCAGCGCCGCCTCTTCTGTCTCGACGAGCGGCTTGGAGAGGCCTTTGACAAAGGTTTGGCCTACACCCCATTTTTATAGACATGTCGTCGTCACAATGGACGAGATTGTCAACGAACCTTTGTCGTTTTCTTGCACCACCAAGTCGCGCGCCTGGTTCTCGCCCGCGTTAAAGTCGAGGAGGTCGTAGAGCTGTTCGTTGTAGATCTCAATGTACGAGACACGAACGCTGTAGGTAAAGTCTCTCGCTGCTTGGATAGATGCAAAAATGAGGGCGATCGACCGCGCGCAGATGCCTCGGTCCGCAAAGCTCGTTTTGCCACCGCTCTAGACGCTAGTGAGACCACACGTTGTCATCTCGCGTGGGGTCGTACCATCGTAAATGTCTTGCCCGCGCCGGTTTGCCCATAGGCCATGACGGTGCCTGCGTCATCAATGTTGGCTGCGTACCGCACAGGACAGAGAGGACAGCACACCGTTGTAGCCGTGCAGGACGCTTTCGGTTGCTTCTCGCGCCGCCCGCTCAAACACTTGCTCTTGGCTCACGCTGCTCGCGAGGACGTCGTCAAACTTGAAGCACGTGCCATGGCCGCTCGCTGCATCGTGGAGGACGCTGATCGTCTATGTGTTGATGGACATGTTACAATAAGCATATCGAATAAGAACGTACCTTGTCGGGCTCGCTGACGCGGATGCCAGCGTGGTCCTTGGACGCGGGCCGCACCCGGATGCACACCTTGACGCGCTTGTGCATGCCTGACAAGTCCGCAGCACACCCGACGTTTCGACACGTAACGCTCCCTCCTGCAGCTTAGTTGTTGACTCGAACCATGGTCGTCGTCGCCCAGGCAGCGCGTGCTGGCGATGACTCGATTTGCACGTTTACAGGTCTGGGGTTAAGGGGTTAAGAGTACGGCGAAGGGTTGGATGCCTGTCGCTGACAGCTACATTGCGAGGTGTGCAGCACCGACGCACGCCATTGCTTCTGGGACCAGCGCAATTAGGAATACGAACTCTCTGGACGAGCAGCGGTGTACGCCGTAATGGTGACCTTCAGGCCTGGCATGCCTGCTTGACCTTGACGGCAACTTGGCCGTGCAGCGACTTGAATTGCTGCGTTTTGATTGGTCCATTTGCTGCCGCAACATTATTGGCATCAAGCGCAACATGCTCCGACGCCTCTCGACCGACGTGCGCCGGAAGCTCAAGGCGCGGCAGCTCGTCGACGTGGTACTCCCTGCTGGTTGCTATGTGGCGATGATGAGATATCGCTGCTGGTAGACGATCGAGTCGCTCGACATCCACGGGCTCGGCGTCGGGAAGGACGCGGCGACCGGCCTCCTGTGCGCGGTCAATGGCGCGATTCCAGGCCAGCACATCAAGGGCCGCGTGCTCCAAGACAGGTAGAGGCAACTTCACCGCGTGTATAGTGTCTGTATCGCAGCGCAATCGTAGCGTCGTGCCTGCCCGCGTGGCGCAGATGGAGCTGGTCGCCCAGAGCCCGGACTTTGTCGCGCCCGTCTGCTCTGTTTTCGACAACTGTGGCGGCTGCAAAACTCAACACTACCCGTACGCCAAGCAAGTGGCCGCCAAGCAAGCGGCGATTCAAACGACGCTGGGTACGTCGGACGTCGCGCCCATGGCGCGTGCCACGTCTGCGTTTGGCTACCGCAACAAGATGGAGTTTACGTACAGCGCGGGTCGCTGGCTCACGCTGCTCGATACGGTGCAGGATACACACCAAGCGACGCTCGGACTCTTCCCCAAGTCGAAAGGAGCGCGGCGCTGGGACGGCCGCGTCGTGGCCATCGACCATTGCGCGCTACAGTCGGACGTCGGGAACCGCCTCGTGACGACCCTTTGGCGCGTCTGTCGTGCGTTGCCAGCGTACGATTACCTCAAACACACGGGGTTTCTTCGCCACCTCGTCGTCCGCGTCGGGTCGACGCTCGGTGGTAGCACAGAAGTGCTCCTCGGTCTCGGCACGGCAACGATCGACGACGATACGGCACCGGCCGTCGCAGCCGTCGTCGACGCACTGCTCGCAACCGCTGACAACGCCTCGAACATTGTGTCGGTCGTTCAGTTTATGGACGATGAAATGGTGCGTCGGTTCCGCAAGCGCCACGACGGACAGCGACCGCGTGAGACGCACCGCGTCGTACACGGCCGGTCGTTTATGAAGGACACGATTCTGCACAAGGAGTTTCGCGTCTCGCTGCAGTCATTCTTTCAGCCCAACACGGCCATGGCGTCCGTGCTCTACGCGCACGTGGCCGGCGCGCTGCAAGCCCGGTCGACGCCGCCGGTGGTCTGGGACCTCTTTTGCGGCGTCGGCTCGATTGGGATTTGCGTGGCCGACCACTGCGCCCACGTGGTAGGCATTGATGTCGTACCAGACGCCATTATCGACGCCCGCGCCAACGCCGAGGACAATGGCGTTGCTGAAAAGATGTCGTTTCTGTGCAGAGACGTCCTAGCCGACGGCATCCCCGACGGCCTTCCGCACCCCGACGTGGTCATCGTCGACCCGCCGCGCGCCGGGCTCAACGCCGAGCTCATTTCGTTCTTGACGTCGACCGTGGCGCCGGACGAGATCATCTACGTGTCGTGCAACGTGGTGAGCCAGGCGCGCGACCTCGAGAAGCTCCTCGCGGCCGGCTACAGCGCCTCGCTCATCCAGCCCGTCGACATGCTGCCGCACACGCCGCACGTCGAAAACATTGTCGTCTTGCGGAAAGCATAGCGTTCGAATTTTGCTTCGAAATTTACGTGAAAATTCATTTCGCACGTGTAAAATCGCCAGCAAACGCCCCGAGCCGCCGCGAAGGTCGGCATGTTCTCACTGGGCCTGCTGGGATGCATAGCAATAACGCATCTTAACGAATCCACCGTAGTCCTTGCTGCGGGCACCGTAGCTAGCTGTCAATGTAGCCAACGCAGAGCCCGGAGGGAATACCGCGAAAAATTTGTGTGCAGGAGTGAAGTTGGCGCAACGCTCTTAGCTGCCTGTAGCTGCCTATGTTGGCCCAGGCCTCAACCGGAGACGCTCACATCCGCTACTCTAGCGCTTAGAGACGCCTCTCGTGCTAAATCTGAGAGGTTATCCTTTTGCATATACTGTACTAGTAGGGTGCTTGCTCGAGCCTCACTTGGTGCGTGATTATACTCGCGGAAAAACACACGGTGTAAAATCACACGGTGAAAATCCCGATCCTTCGGGCAACGTTTTGCGTGGAAGTCAGGCGTCGTCGTCGTCATTCTCACAGTACATGCGCCCGACGCACCTCCGACGCAGCATGGCATCGATCTCAGACCCGCTGATCAAGGTTCACCTCTCGCTCGAGCACACGGCGGCGCGCGACGGCAGCGGCTTCCGCGTTGAGCGCGACGAGAGCGTCGACCCGCGCAAGCCACGGGCAAAGGTGCCCGGCGCGTCGTTCACCAAGGCCATTTGCACGCCGCTGCCACAGCCCAAGCTCGTGTGCATTGCACCTAGCGCGCTTCAGTTGCTGCAGCCAGCAGACGCGCCGCCGATCGCCAAGCTCAGCGACGACGAGAAGACATCGTGGCTGCATCTCATTGCTGGCACAGGGTCGCTCGAAGGCCTCGCGCACTGCTACGCAGGGCATCAGTTTGGCCACTTTTCCGGCCAGCTCGGCGACGGCGCTGCGATTCTCCTCGGCGGCGTGCCCGGCTATGAGGCGCAGCTCAAGGGCGCGGGCCTGACAAACTACTCGCGCACGGCCGACGGGCGCAAGGTGCTGCGCTCGACGCTGCGCGAGTTCTTGGCCAGCGAGCACATGCACGCGCTAGGTATCCCAACGACACGCGCGGGCGGCGTCGCGGTCTCGACGTCCGAGACGGTCCTTCGCGACAAATTCTACGACGGCAACGCCAGCCACGGTACGCACTGCCTCTTGCACGCTCTCTGCATTCACTGACATCATGCAGAGCCCGTCGCCACCGTCTTGCGCATTGCCGAGACCTTTATTCGGTTTGGCTCGTTCGAGCTCTTCAAGCCAGTGGACGCGACGACGGGTCGGAGCGGTCCGAGCGCCGATCTGCCCACGGTGCTTGGTCCATCTCCTCCTCTTGTATCCTCATCGACCATTGTAGGACACTAAAGAGGCCACGCTGCGCGCCATGGTATCGTTCGTGGCCGAGACGTACTATGGACTATCGCCCGAGATGGCTTTTGAGGACAAAACGCAAGCTTTCCTGCAAGCGCTCTGCGAGCGCACGGCGCGGCTCGTGGCCAAGTACGTCAAACTCTCTTCCTGTGACGACACGAAATGGCTCTAGGTGGCAAGCAGTCGGCTTTTGCCATGGCGTACTCAACACGGACAACATGAGCATCGTGGGTGATACGCTCGACTATGGCCCGTACGGCTTTATGGAGCATTTCGACCCGCAGCACATTTGCAACACGTCCGACTCGTCGGGTCGGTACGCCTACGCGGAGCAGCCCGAGGTACCTACCTCGTCCCATCCTCGCAGAGGATTGTTGAGCTGGCTCTAGATTTGCAAGTGGAACCTTCACAACCTGGTGTCGCAGCTGACGCACTTGCTGCCGCCGCCGATGCTGGACGCGCTCCACGCGCTCGTCGAGGCGACGTTTGACGAGGTGTACGCTACCGAATTCTCCGCCCTCGTGCACGCCAAGCTCGGGCTGCTGGCCGACGGGACGTCGCGCGAGGTCATTGGTGCGTGGTGGTCGACGCTCACCGAAACGCGCGCCGACTTCACCTGCGCCTTCCGGGCCCTCTCGCAGCTTCGCACGGCCGACGCCGCGACGACCGACGACGTCGTTGAAGGCCTCACAAGTGTGTCGCACACGCTGGCGCAAACCAAGGCAGCCCGCGCACCGAGCGTGTCGCCCGCGCAGCTTGTGCACCTGCGGGATCTGCTCGAGAAGAGCCCGGCGCGCGCCGCACAGTACGGCATCGACGCCGAGGTTGCTGAACGTAGCAGCAGCCGCATTCTCTTATCTGTCGCCTGTGTTAGGTGCTCGCCAAACTCCAAGAGGACATCACCGCGTACTCGAAGTTGCTCACGAGCGACTGGACGGACGCGTCGTTCCGGGACGTGCAGGCCGCCAAGTGGCGCGCGTGGGTAGATGCGTATGCGGCGCTGCTCGTGCAACAAAACTCGGCGTCGGACGACGACCGGCACCGGGCCATGAACGCGGTCAACCCCAAGTTTACGCTCCGCAACCATGTGGCGCAGGCGGTGATCGAGGCGGCCGAGCGCGATGACGACGCATCGGTGCAACACATTCTGCACCTGCTCCTCCACCCCTTTGAGGACGGTCTCTCGTGCGACAGCGCGCTGTACGCGACACCATTGGACCCGAGCGCCCCGCCGCTCATGGTGTCGTGCTCGTCGTAAGTGGAAGAGAAGTTGGAGGTCCTCGCTTGAATTAAGGAAATACTGTCTCGTGTTGCAGCTGTTTACGTTTAGGACAACGGAAGAAGCACTTGGGGCTTGAAGAGCGATGGCTGCACCACCTTGGTGGGCACGAGCTGGCCGTTGGCTTGGAGCAGGAACGTCTCGAACGTGTTGGTGTTCTCCTCGCCGACGATCACCGTGTTGTTGGCGCCAAGGGCAAAGTCCCGCGCGCCCGCCCAAGCTTTTAGAACGTAGTCACCGATCGGTTTGAGGTCGGCGTCAAACACGGCGATGCTGTCGCCCGGTGTCGACCCGCCGTACCGGTTCGTAACGAGGACGTAGCGGCCGTCGGCCGTGATGCGAATCGCACCCGTGAGAACACCCGCGACCTGCGTCGTCTTGACGGCTTTCGCCAAGGTCAGGAGCCCCGACGTGGACGCATAGCTGAAGCGAAGCACTTGGTTGCTGCGCTCGGTCACCAAGTAGAGCTGCTGGTTGTTGGGGTGGAACGCCATATGACGTGGCAGCGCGCCCGGGCTGACAGTTACAAACGCTGGCGAGTTGGCGGTGAGCGCGCCCGTCGTCGGGTTAAACTTGAACTGCATGATCTTGTCGTTGCCGAGGTCCGTGACAAACCTAGAAGTCTAAGTCCACATTTCCGGACACGAGCAGCGTACGCATAATTGTTGTCGGGGCTCAGCGTGACGCAGTGCGCGTGCGAGCTATCTTGACGCCCCGGCACGACGCGCGCGGCGCCGGGAAAGACCACCTGGCTCACAATGCGGTTGGCCACCTTGGTTGCAGGATCGATCGCCAGCACCTACGCACCGCAGCTGTTCTTCCAGAGGCTTTGACGAGACGAAGGACGCACCGTAATGCTACCGACCGTGTAGCTCGCAACGAGCGCAAAGCGTTGATTCGATGTCACAGCGATGTGCACGGGACCCTGCGAGTTAGTCGCCATCGCGCCAAGGCGCTTGAGCGTTGGTGACGCGCCGCTGCGGTCGATCGCAAACGAAACAATCTGTCCGGCTGTGACCTCGTTCGTGACGTACAAGTAGTTCTTATCTTGCGTGAGCGCCATGTACGTGGGCATGTTGCCCGTCAGCGTGCTCGAGACGGAGAAAAGCTGCTGGAGCGGCGATTTACTCGCATCGTAGACCGTGATACCCGGCGAGGAGGCCTTGGAGCCATCGGTTTGCGCACCAACAAGCAACAACGACATTGGTTTCGGTGTCGGTGTCGGTGCTGGTGTCGGTGCCGGTGCCAGTGGCTTGGGCGCCATTGGTGCTGCCACCTGTGGCTTGGGGGTTGTCGGCGCTGGTGTTGCCGCAAACAGCTCAAACTCGAGCGCGGTTGGCGTCGTCGGTGTCGACGTGGTCGTCGGTGTCGGTGTGGAACCCGCCGTCGTGGCGACGCACAGAGCGAAAAGGTACAACACCGATGTCTTCATCCCAGGTAGTTAGCAAATCGCAGAGTGAGGAGCGCAGGCCATGCTGCCCATCACCACGACGCTCCTCGTTCTCCGTTTTCAACGGTTCAGCGCCTGAGACGCATTACGCATGGAAATGGCGAGTCTCCTCCGTCCAGTCGACAGTGCTTAATACATTATCGACCCATTTATTGACCCTACTAGTACGTGATACCATGTACCCCTCGCAGGTATCTTTGCATCCTACGTATATTACGTCGAGCGAGCGTTGTTGCACGATACACCTACTGAAGAGCTATAGCTCACCGCCGCCAAAGCGCGCCCAGAGAAAGGGCTCGAGCGCGGACGGCGATGTGCCGGCTTTCACGCCTGGACTGCTGGTCCTTGTGAGCTGCACGCACGAGTGGCAAGCCGATGGGCTCAGGGACTGGAGGGTGCAGTGATATTTCCGGCAAAAACATGGCAAATTTCCGTTTCGACGTCTGAAACCACACTTTCACGTGCGATTGAACACACAGGAAGAATATGATAGGGACGATTCCACACAAATGGCAACAGTGCAGAAGGACAAGCAAGATGGAAAGCTCCGCCGAAGAGACCCCAGTCCTGAAGTTCATCGTGGGCCAAGTTGCCATCAGGAGAAATGCCACTCTCGACGCTTGCGGGCGCCAAGATACTCCTGTTTGCCCCAACATGTGCGGTGAAATGCTTTGAGCTTTGGCAGACACATACCGGTAGAAGCACATACAGACTTGTGGACAATATTAGTACGGCAATAGCACCTGCGGCTTGAAGAGGGCGGTTGCTTGTCCTTGGTGGTGCGTCAGCTGACCGTTTGCGTGCAGTGTAAAGCTGTCGATGCTGTTGGTGTTTTCATTCCCGACAAACACCGTGCCATTGGCAATCGTAAAGTCCCGGGGCGCGCCCGAAGCTTGGGTCGGGTACGACCCGATGCGCTTGGTCAGGTCGGCGCTGAAGACGACGAGACTGTCGTCGTTGCCCCACCGGTTGGACACGAGCACGTGCTTCCCGCTCGGCGCCACATGCAGCGCGCCAGTAAAGACACCACTCGCTTTCGTCGTCGTCTTGACCGACTTCTTCTGCCGCAAGGTGCCGGACGTTGCGTTGAACTGGAATTGAATGAGCTCGTTCGACTGCTCGGTGTTGAGGTAAAGATCGCGTCCGTTCGGGTGAAACGCCAAATGACGTGGCAGCGCGCCACGCCCGAGAGCCACGAACGCCGGCGCGTTGGGCGTGAGCTTGCCGCTCGCGGCATCAAACTTGAACTGCATGATCTTGTCGTTGCCGAGGTCCGTGACGAAGCTAGTAGCCCACTCATGATAAGACAATATATCAATGAAGCAAGCACAACGTACGCAAACTTGTTGTCGGGACTCAGGGCCACACAATGTGCGTGCGGTCCGTCTTGACGACCCGGCACGACGTGGGCACCGCCTTCGAAGGTCACTTGGTCAACGACAGAGTTAGCAAAGCCGTTGCCATCGACGCCAAGCACCTACATTGCGTTTACATAGAGTGAGACGAGAGGTCGCGTACCGTGATGCTGCCGACCGAGTAGCTGGCGACAAGAAGAAAACGACCTGATTTGGTCACAGTGACGTGCACGGGTCCCTTGGACTTGGTGGGTGCCGTCCCGAGGGCCTTGAGCTCGACACTGTCGCCCGCGCGCGCAATGCGAAACGACGTGACGGAGCCGGCGTCGATCTCGTTGGTCAGGTACAGGAACTGGCTGTCGTGCGAGACTGCCATATATGTGGGCATCTCGCCCGTGGTCGTCGTCGTCTCATGCAGGAGCTTCCGAAGACGACCGTTTTCGTTGGCAAACACCGAGAGACCGACCGATGACGTCGGCGACGTCTGGCTGCCGACAAAGAGGAGCGAGCTCTGAACGACCGTTGCGACAAGCGCCAGAAGGCTGAGAACGAGCGTTGGCTTCATGGCAAACTGAAATGTGAGCTGCAAAATGTGAAAAGCAGCAATTGGGAAAAGGTGCGGTGGTGGATCGAGCCAGCGTGATACGCTTCGTCGATAGCATCCGGATACGAACTAAGCTTACACCGCGCACAGTTCCGAGGGTGTGCTTCGTCCAACGTTCGAACGTGTCGGGAACACAGCTGCCGCCGCGCCGTGATGTTCGAGTGAGATTTCGCACCTTGGCGAACGACGCACTAGGCCTAACAAACGCTACTCCGTACAGCTAGCGTCGCATTCGTCACCTCCGTTTTTAAGGTTGTCGGTTTTAGCGAAGACGTTTGTTGGCGGAAGCGCAAGTCCGTAGAATACACTAGGAGTTCATTTCACATGAGCCGAGGCTATAGGAGCACCACTTCGTGCTTCCATGGTGCAGACCATTTTGGGAGTGCACGACTGCAGCGGCCAAGAGAGATGAATGAGCCAATCCCTTGGTGCTTTTCGACAGTACAGTGCGCTGATTGGCCCCGTAAAAGCTCCAATCACCCTCCGTATCAAGTTGATACCCAGACGGAGTACTGTGGGGAATCTCGACTCGGGATACGCGCGGGATGCGTGGCAATGTCGCGTCTTTTGAGCACAGCGAAGCCCTGCGACTACCTGCTGAGAGGCCTCTAGTTTCATCGGGCTGCGCCTGAATGCGCAGCCGGCCCATTGCCATAAATAAAACCGCAGAGTCGTCGTCGATGACCTAAGCAAGCGGAATCTGCTTGGATGGAGTTTTTTGGACCGTGACGGGTTGCAAGGCCTTGCCACTGCGAGGGTATTGTGATTCGAGTGGGTGCGTCGGTGCTGCAGACTGTAGCGACTCGGGCTTTCTCATCGTGTCTGCTTGTTTGAGCAGGACCTCCAACAACCGGATACCTCGGCAGTTGAAATATTTCGCGACAACTTCGACAACTTGGTGCTCAAGTCGCCTCGACGACCATTTTTGGACAAGGGCTCGCGCGTAATTCGCTCTCGTGAAGGTGCCATGTGCAGTGGCAACAAAGCGCAACACGACGAGGCGCTGCATCAGGCAGACGTTGACCAGTCCACGGTTGCCGAACATTCCTTTTGCCGCTCGTAAATGAGCCTGACCTGAGCTGAGAAGCGCCGTTGAATAATGGTATTCGTCCACGGATTCGGCGCCGCAGCCACTATCAACGCTATATCACTGTGCAGCACTGCAAAGTCCATACGCATTACGCCAAATAGTCGCATCTGTTTGACGCCGGCCACACGCTTCGCCTCGTCGAAACGCGCTCGCGAATTAACGGCCGGTCCAAAATAGGTCGCAAAACCACTTGGCAGCAAGGGACGCTTGTATCGGTTTTCTGGGATGAGTGTCGCGCCGCTGCCGGTGCGCCGTCCGAGTGCGCACGAAGGCTCGTCGCTCGAGGCGGGCGCGGCCCCCGGGCGCATTCTCTACGTCAACGACCGGCCGTCGACGCTCGCGGCCATGGCACGCTACAGCCTCAAGTATCCGAACAACGTCGTCAAGACGTCCAAGTACTCGGTGCTGACCTTTCTACCCAAGAACCTCTTTGAGCAGTTCCGGCGCGTCGCAAATTTCTACTTTCTCATCATCTCGCTCCTCCAGCTCACGACCAAGTTGTCGCCGACCAATCCGTACTCGACTGTCGGCCCCCTCATGCTCGTGCTCATCGGTACACCAAGCAGCGCATGTCGATCGTATTTTGAGTAATACGTAGCCACGATGATCAAGGAGGCGATCGAAGACAAGGCGCGGCACGAGGCCGACCGCCAAGTCAACCACGGACTCACGCTCATTTACGACGCGCCGGTCGGCTGGCGCAGCATCACGTGGATGCAGCTCCAAGTCGGCGACCTCATCAAGGTCGACAACAACAAGCCATTTCCCGCCGACCTCGTCCTCCTCGCTTCGAGCGCGGACGATGGTCAAGCCCAGGTGGAGACAACGAGCCTCGACGGCGAAAGCAACCTCAAGGTACAATACTCAGCGATTGCAAATCGTGCTACATTCGTAAGTAGACGCGGTTCTGCCCCATGGCCAAGGCAGGTCCGCTCCAGCCTACGACGTTTCCGTCCAGCATGACAGGGGAGATCCGATGCGAGGCCCCAAACCGACGTCTCTACACGTTCGACGGCGTCTTGCGATTGCGTGCGGGGCCGGACGACGAACAGGACATTTCGCTGACCATTGATAACGTCGTGCTCCGAGGCATGAAGCTCTGCAACACCGACTACATCATCGGTGTCGTGGTCGCTGCCGGCGCCGACTCGAAGCTCATGCTCAACACCAAAGCGGTACTAGTAGTCTCGTCTTGAACAGCGTCTCATTGGTACGCAGACCCCGTCCAAGTTTTCACGTCTCGATGTGATTGCCAACCGCTGTATTCTGCTCGTCTTTTCCGTGCTCTTTGCCGTGTGCTGCCTCTCGACGGGCCTGAGTCTCATGTGGAGCCACCAGCGCACGCGGCTCAACTCGACAACGTACCTCTCGCTCCTCGTGGCGTCCAGCATCCTGGACGTCAACACCTTTGCGAGCACGTTTGTGACTTATCTCATTCTGTACAACAATTTGGTATGTCCTATTGTTAATTGTGCCATCGACAAGGATCTCATCGACAGCCTGCTAGGTGCCGATCTCGCTCTACATCAGCTTGGAAGTTGTCAAGTGGTACCAGGCCAAAAAAATGGAAAAGGACCCCGAAATGGTATTGCTTATATGGGGCGATGGTGTACCACAAGCTTTCGACTATCAGCACACGTGTAGATCGACCCGGTCTCGGGTCGCGCCGTCCTCGCGCGCACGTCCAACCTCAACGAAGACGTGGGGCAGATCAAATACCTCTTCAGCGACAAGACTGGTATGTCCTTGGTGTCCGAAAATCGTCTCGATTCTTAAGATTTGATAGGCACCATCACGAAAAATGAGATGGTGCTCAAGGTCATTAGCATCGACAATGTCATTTATGACAGCATTCCTGGGGTACTCCAAATTGCATGTATCGGAAAATGGCGCTAACACGCTCGCATAGCCGCCACCCCGGAAGCGGTCGATGAAGGGCATTATCGATGCTAGTTTTGCCAAGCGACCGTCGCAGCCCAACGCCGTCGCTCTCCTCGCGCGGTGGGTCCCGACTTTCCTGATTCAGTATTCTTATTGCAATATCGCATTAGTGAAAATTCGATGCGGCGCAAGGAAAAGGAAAATGCCGAACGCGTCGCCGCGCGTCTGCGCATGTTTCAAGCCGACGTGCAGCACTATGACAACCTCGCGTCAATCGGCTCCAACCCCACGTCGGACGTTGCGTGTCAACCCGTATGTTTGGGTTTGGAGCTGTCACAATGACATACCCAATTTGTAGTCGTCGGTTGTGCTCGGGGATACGCCGCTCACGAAAGGCGAGCTCACACAGACCTTTTTCCGGTGCCTCTTGCTCTGCCACACGGCGACGATCGCCCCCGATGACGAGATTCGCGCATCGTCGCCGGACGAGGCGGCGCTCTTGGTGGCCGCGATCGAGTTCAACTGCCGCTGCCGCCAGCGCTCCATCAACTCGGTCACCATCAAGTACGATCTTATTTTCAAGTGAAACAAGCGCTTACGGAGCGCGTAGCATCTTTGGCGACGACGAGACGTACGACATTTTAGCGCTCAACGAATTCGACTCGACGCGCAAGTGCATGTCGATCATTGTGCGCCAGACGTCGCCGCGGCCGACCAGCGAGGATGACGACGGTGTGTCACGTGATGCGTCTGCATACGTGCTGACAAGAACAGTAGGCATTTGGATGTTTACGAAAGGCGCCGACACCGCCATGATGGCGAGTGCCGTGCCATACGGTCAGCAGCTCAAACCGCCGGCCATGGCTTTGCACATTCACTACTTTGCGTCGATGGGGCTGCGGACGCTCGTGTTTGGGTACATTTGCCGATTACTTATATGCTTCGATATGGACCGTGATTGTTGAATAGGTACAAGCGACTGACTCGCGCCGAGTACAGCTCGTGGTTTGAAGCGTACACCAAGGCCAAGACGAGCCTCGTGGACCGCGACACAAAGCTCATCGAGTGCGCACGCTGCATGGAGACAGGCGTCACGCTCCTCGGCGCCACGGGCGTCGAAGATCAGCTCCAAGACGGCGTCACGCACTGCATTCAGACGCTGAGCAACGCGGGGTACAAAGCGAACTCGACTGCTGTGGCTGACGCTCGATAGGATCAATATTTGGATGCTCACGGGGGACAAGGACGAGACAGCAATCTCCATAGCCAACTCGTGCGGTCTCCTAACCGATCAGTCGCACTTGGTCGTTGTCAACGAAAAAACCAAAGCCGCGTGTCTCTACCAAATTGCCAACGCCCGCAAAAAGCTGCGCAAAGCCGGTACCTTTGTGGCGGCACGGATCACATCATCGATGACGTGATATTCCACGTAGGCATCTGGCACCCGGGGCGCCCGTCACACGACATTGCACTTGTCATCAACGGCGAGGCACTCGAATGCCTCTTGGCGCCAGCCGACGAGTCGCCCGAGCCTGCACCGACCATGGGGCGATACACGTCAAGCGATGCCCTCGTACCTCCTGAGAGCGGTCGTGGTGGCAATGAGAGCTCGCTAGACGCCGCACCCGAAGTCCGTGACAAGGACTCCCAACGTCGTATGGGCCAACGCGATGTGTTGCGGTTGCTGAATCTTGAATAGAAATTCGAGCATCGCTGACGGTCGACGACCCCGCCGAGCTCAGCGTCATGGGCGGTGGCAACGACAGCATCTTTATGCAGCTCGTGACGCAGTGCTGCTCGGTGATTGCCTGCCGCCTCTCGCCGCTTCAGAAGGCACAGATCGTTGCACTCATCAAGACAAGGTTCGACTACCTATCGGTATTAAAGACACCGATCTCACCGAATGTACAGCAAGGGTCGGCCCGTCACGATGGCGGTCGGTGACGGCGGCAACGATGTGAGCATGATCCAAGAATCGCACATTGGTGTCGGCATCTACGGACACGAGGGCATGCAAGCTGTCCGCAGCGCCGACTTTGCGATTGGCCAATTCCGGTTCTTATCGCGTCTGATTCTGGCGCACGGCCGGTGGAACTACCGGCGCGTCTCGATCGTGATTCTCTTTTCGTTCTACAAGAACATGGCGCTCATCATGACGCTCTTCTGCTACTCGTTTTACAACGGGTACTCGGGTCAGACCATGTACGAGTCATACCTGATTGTGGGCTGGAACGTTCTCTACACGCTCTTCCCGATCCTCGTGCTCGGTATCATTTCTTATTTCCAGTGTTGTACTATGTAAAAAATGACAATTAGGCATCACGGACGAAGACATTAGCTCCGAGACCGTGCTGCTCTATCCGTTCATCTTTCGCAACAACCAGAAAGGCCAAGAGCTCAACATTGAGAAGATGCGCGTGTGGGTCGTGAACGCACTTTTGCACTCATTTCTGGTGTTTATGCTCGGGACCTATTTTGTGTACAAATTTCGCATTCCACACCGTACGATACTATGACGGTAGGTACATTGTCGACGGGTCGTCGCTCCCCAACTCGAGTGTCTTTCTCTACGGCACGGCTGTCTACGGCGTCCTCGTCGTCACCGTGACAATGAAAGCGGCCATGGTCATGCAGCGCATGCACCGCTGGACGCGCTACCATTACCTCTCGATCATTTCGGGGCCGCTCATTTACTTTTTGTTTGTGCTCTCGTACTCGCAGGTACCTTTGGCGATGTGACGACGCATCCTGAACAGAAGCATCGACGTAGGCCTACGTGTGGGTGCCGATTTCCCCGGTCAGCGACTTTTGTGGTCTCGGTAAAGTGCTTTTTGGCACGGCACAGTTCTGGCTCGTCATCGTGCCCGTCTCGTTTGCGTCGTTGATTGTGGACATTATTGTCATGTATCTCCAGCGCATGTATTTGCCAACGAACCAAGACATTATCGAAGAAATCGACTGCTGCCTCGACAACAACAGCGCTTGCGAAACCACGGTCCGTTGTTCCAATTGAAACAAAAAAATCATTGATATCCGTAGCCCAAAGTGCACACAAGCAGCTCCAAAACGTGGATTTTGGCCAACAACCCGCTCGGCGATTGGACAAAACAGCACGACGCGTCATCGACGGAGCACGAAGAGCTGTGCCGGTGCGCAAAGTAGATGGTTGACATCTCATACTATATGTCTTCTTGTCTCTAGACACTTGGTGCGCATGGAAAAAGCCATTGCGCGGGAGATCGGCGCCCATCGCAGCGACGACCAGGACAAGGTCATTTCGGCCACGGCGCAGCCCGCGATTCACCCGATCACGCTCGAGTTTATGGGCGAGGAGAACGAAGAGCTCGAGCACGAGTACAACATCAACTTTTCCCTTCGGTTCGTCGTACAATTTGCGAAAAATCTTATGGTGGGCACAGCGAGGCGCGCCGGATTCGAACGCTCATGTCGGTCGTCGTCGTCGCGCTGCCGCCGTATGCATTTGTCGAGTACTATGGCGAAGGCGACGAAAACCTCTGGCCGTACCGCGTCGCCATGTTCATTGCGGCGCTGGTGTACATTGCCTACACACGCACGTCGTTCTTTCACCGGCACTACCAATACTCGGTATTTTCACTGCATTTTGATTGAAAAATTTCATTTAAATTTATTGCTAGGTTGCGGTGCCCTTGGCGATCGCTGGTATTGTGTTTACGCAAGCGATCAAGTACACGGGGAAATTTGCCGTCACGATCTTCACCATTATTCTCTATTCGGTCGTGCGCGTCAAGTTTGTCATTGCGACGTGGCTGGCGTTCTTCAACTTTTTGTATTTTTTACTCTCGGGGTACCTCGGCTTGAACCACATTGCAGCGTCGAGTGAGAATTCCGCAATCGACGACACGCTCTTTATGCTCTTCATGGTACTATATATTTTGAAATCCCCATTTTGAAACACAAAATTCATTGTCTGTGTAGCTCATTCTGATTGGCATGGCGGCGTTTGGCGGCTACAACCTCCAAGCCACGATGCGCCGGGACTTTTTACAAAACCGTATTTTGCTCTACCAAGAGCGCCGCAGCACAGAAATCCTCAACAACATGTTGCCCGAACACGTGGTCAAGCGCATGCAGTCGGGCGACACACTCATTTCCGAGGAAGAGAAGGACGTGACGCTCCTCTTCTGCGACATTGCGGACTTTGGCTACCTCTTCAAGCACTACTCACCGACGCAGGTACATATATGCATATTTCATCGCATCAGCCAATACGACAATATTGCGCTGTAGATGGTGAGCCTCCTCGACCGCATCTATTCGCTCTTCGACCAGCTGTGCCTCAAGCACGGCTTGCGCAAAATGGAGACTGTTGGCAAAACGTACTTTGCCTGCGCTGGGCTCCAAGACAGCGAGAAGGGCCGCGAGGCTGCGATCCGGACCGCGGCCATGGCACACGAAATGATGGTCTACCTACATTCCCAAAACATATGTTTACGAGTGATAGGCGGTCGTGGCCAAGTGCAAGGCCAGCAGCGGCAACGGCATCCGCATTCGGATCGGCATTCACTCGGGGCGCGTCATTAGCGGGCTCGTGGGCATGAAGAAGCAGCAGTTTTCGCTCTTTGGCGACACAGTCAACACGGCCTCGCGCATGCAAAGCACAGGAATTACGGGCCACATCCAGCTCTCGCAGGTCGCCCATCTCAACCAGTCGTATGCGGCAACTATGGTGGCATTAGATGACATTTGAGAAGATCCGCAGCGACTTTCACTTTGAAGAACGCACGGTGGAAGCCAAGGGCAAAGGTCAAATGAAGACCTTCTTGCTCGGCCGCCCGACGACCGCACTCGCCGAGCGTGCGTGCCGTGGGCATTGGGACGCGGGCAAGCACGTCGAGTCGCGTCGTGTGAGCATTCCCAATATGCGCGAACCCACCGAGTAGGTCCTTTTTGAAATCGGTATAATGCCGTATCACGCCGTTCGGTAGAAGCGCACAGTGTCTGCGAGCGATCGCAACTCGCTGCATCGAGTCGCTCCAGCGCACGTTCGACTGCGTCCGCGAGCCGCCAAGCGCCGCCAACGAGAGCATTGCGGCCAAGGAGCTCGAGATGAAGTCGCAGATCGACTTGCGCTGGCTGCATTTCAAGGACGCTGCGTACGAAATAGCCTACCTGCGGGCGATCGTGGTCGAGCACCGCGCGGGGTACTGCTTGCTGATGAAACCTTGTCGAGGTGCGAGGATCTTGACTAGGACGCGCCGCACGGTACTGGCCCTTGGCGTCTACATACTCTACGCAGTGCTCCGCGACGTCCTCCATGACGCTTACGTGACGACGTGCGCGTCGTGCCACAGCTACATGTAGCCACAACGTTATATGAGGTGCACTGATACGGTGTAGGGTTGCGTTTCAATTCGCGCGCGCCGCGGTTGTCGTGCTCATCGCGTGGTATGAGTACAGCGAGTACCACGCGAAGCGCAAGCTGTCGTCGCTGGTCGTGCCAGACGGCGTCATGCGCGCGTCGCACCGCCAGAACCACCGGCTATTGGTCTTATACGTTTTGATCGCGGTCGTCCTCTTCATGCCCAACCTCCTTCGGTAGAGTCTTTGCTTCTTTGTGTGTTTTCGACGTATCGATGTAGCTGGATATCGGAGCAAGCGAGCATTCTCTACTCGTACCTCTGCCTCGACATCATCATTGTCATGTTCCTTGCGTCGTTCGGCGGCTCGCTCTTGTACCCATCCGTGCTGCTCATCAACAGTCTTCTCGTGAGCGGCAGCGGCATTATCTACTTTGTACTACGTTCATCTGGAGGATATACCTCGAACACTATTTCTAGACGCTGCAGCTCAACTACGAATCGTCCACGATATCGGACGCCGAGAAGCTGCGCATTTACCCACTCGCGATCACGCTCTTTATCGGTCTCTCGAACGTCATGGCCCGGCGCGACAACGAGTTTTTCGGACGCCGCAAGTACTGGCTCCAGACGCGCACGCAGCTCGAGACCAAGAAAGCCGACCAAATGCTCTACAAAATGCTTCCGCAGTCGCTCGTGACGCAGCTCAAGGACGGGGACACGGTCTGCGACCAGCACCATCACGTCCGTGCCATGCATTGGGGTACACTGGGAGCTTAGAGCACTGAATAGGTGGGGATCCTCTTCTCCGACATCAAAGGGTTTACCTCGATCGCGGCGCGCGCCGACACGGACAAGGTCGTCCACATTCTCGACTCGCTCTTCACGGCGTTCGACAAGCTCACCGAGAAGCACGGTCGGTCCTCAAATGATTGTGCAAGTCGGACAGATTGTCTGACATGGGTGCAGGCGTTTTCAAAGTCCAAACGATTGGGGACGCGTATGTGATCGTGTCGGGCTTGCCGTATGCAGACGTGAGCCTCAATACGGTCTCAACAAATGACCTGAAAGCCCAAGTGCTGAGCCGGTCGACGTTCGACGACGGGTCGGGCTCCAAAGGCGCGCCCAAGTCTCTGGACACCACGTCGACGCACCTCCGGAACCTCATTCGCATGGCGAGCGATATGCAAGAGGAGGTCAAGAAGGTGAATGACCCCAACAGCGGCGAGCCGCTCCAGATGCGCATCGGCATTCACCTCGGGAGCATCATTGCCGGCGTCATTGGCACGTCCACGCTGCGCTACGACATGTGGGGACCCGACGTGCTCACGGGCAATGAGATGGAGACCAACGGAGTGCCCGGGCGCATCCTCGTCTCCCAGGACGTGCAGCACGAGGTCCGCCCGACACGAGAGCCGCCTCCTCACTACTGTGTTTGTGTAGGCAAGTGTCTGCCCGGATCTGGCCTTTGAGTTCCACAAGAACATTGATTTTACCAACGCCAACCTCGACACATACCTCGTCGACTACATCTCTGGCGACGCGACGCTCCAAACGCCGTCGACCCCGACCGGGTCAACGAAAAACACGGCGTTTTAGCACCGCCCAATCTGCATATCGTATTTAATCTTGTGTTTTCTAGTCTTCATAGTATGACATTATGTTGCTACATGAACGTCTAAGCTAATTCGTCTGTACTCCCATTTCGACGTGTCCTTTCAGCGGCGTCGAGCAAAGCGACGTCGCTCAGCGTGCCACGTCAGGCGTGCGAGGGACCAGTAGGTCAGCGATAAATATGCATGCCTTTGTGGGAGCGTTTTTTCGACTTTCAGAGAAGACATTACAAACATAGAGGTAAAAATATGCAATTGGGTCGCGCACCTTTTCCGGATCTGGCCCCGACCAATCACTGGGGTCTGTACATCCGGATACGGCGTTGGCTCGCGATGAATGGTCATCTACAAATTGGGCCATGGGCAACAACAAGAAGGGACCGAAGAAGGCTGCGGGTGGCGCCAAGCCCGCGCCGGCGACGGCCAAGCCTGTCCATGCCAAGAAGCAGGATGCGCCCAAGGGTAAGCCGCAGCAGAAGCCCGCGCAGCCCAAGGGTCAGCCGCAGCAGAAGCCCGCGCAGCCCAAGGTCCAGCTGCAGCAGAAGTCCGCGCAGCCCAAGGGAAAGCCGCAGCAGCAGCAGGCCCAGCCCAAGACCCAGCAAAAGACACACGAGAAGAAGGGTGCTGCGACGCCGAACGCAAAGCAGGGCAAGCCAACGACGCCAGTGGCCAAGTCGGGCAAGAAGGGTCACATTGTTGTCGAGGCCGAAGACACGCAGCCCAACGAAAAGCTCGCGCTCATGCTCAAGAACATGAAGGACAACGCCGTCGCGTGGCACTTGGCCGTCAAGCCGCTCTCGGCGAGCAAGGCGACAAACGATGCGCCCAAGTACAAGCCCAACGACCCGATTGTTGAGGAGAAGCGCAAGCTGGCCGAGTCGGCCATGGAGAAGCAGCTTAAGGCGCTCGAGTCCAAGGGCAGCCTCTCGAGCGACGACAAGTACCTCAAGACGATGATGAAGTCCGGTACGTTGGCCGATCGAATCGCTGCAACGACGCTCGCGATCCAGGGGTCGCCGATCCACAACCTCCAGCGCCTCAGCCAGCTCGTGACGATGGCTAAGAACAAGTCGCGCCGCGAGTCGCAAATGGCCGTCGACTCGCTCAAGGATCTCTTCCTCAACAACCTCCTTCCCGACCGTAAGCTCCATTTCTTCCACCAGCAGCCGCTGCACCGCCCCGACGCGACCTTGCAGCACCTCGTCATCTGGTACTTTGAGCACTGCATCAAGATGGCCTTCTCGCAGCTCATCGCGGTGCTCTCCAACGGCATGAACGACGCCATCGACGTGCACAAGCGCGCGTGCATCCGCGCCGTCGTTGCGCTCCTCACGGAAAAGCCCGAGCAAGAAGCGGTCTTGCTCTCGATGCTGGTCAACAAGCTCGGCGATCCCGAGCGCAAGATCGCGGCCTACGTGCTGCACCAGCTCCAGGAGCTGCTCAAGACGCACCCGGTCATGAAGCGCGTTGTCGTGTCGGACGTCGAGCGGCTCTTGACGCGCACCAAGGTCACGGAGCGCACCAAGTACAACGCCGTGCTCTTCTTGAACCAGCTGTATCTGGACGCCAAGGACAAGACGCTGGCGACCCACCTCATTAAGGTCTACTTTGGCCTCTTCACAAAGGAAGTTCACCGCACGGGCTCGGAAGCCGGTGGTCTCGAGCGCAAGCTCCTCTCGGCGCTGCTTGTCGGCGTCAACCGCTCGTTCCCGTACGCCGAGTGCACGTCGGCGGACTTTCAGTCGGAGATCGACACCATGTTCCGCGTGGTCCACACGGTACGAGACAATAGTGTCCATTGTTGCGTGTATTTAGCCTCGACCTAGGCGCATTTTAGCACAAGTGTCCAAGCGCTCATGCTGCTCTTCCAAGTCATGAACTCGACCACCTCGGTGCCCGACCGCTTCTACACGGCCTTGTACGCCAAGCTCTTGGACCCCAAGGTACAATTGGTTGCGCTGGAGTCTATGGTGGCTAATCGCACGCGACGCGTAGCTCCCGACGACCTCCAAGCACACCATGTTTTTGAACGTCCTCTTCCGCGCCATGAAGTCGGACGTCTCGCCCGCGCGCGTCAATGCGATGATCAAGCGCCTCCTGCAAGTCGCCTATACGATGGCGCCGGCCTTTGCGTGTGCTTCGCTCTACCTCGTGTCGCAGGTCATGGCCCACAACCCGCGCCTCCGCGGTATGATCGACATGGCCGAAGCCAGCGATGTGAGCGTCGTGGCCACCGACGCGACGGCCGTCACCAAGGCTACCAATGACGACGATGACGAAGATGAAGAGACGGCGTCGGACGACAATGCGACTGAAAATGTCCCAGAAGAAGACGACGCCGACTTGGCGGCGGAGCGGGATCGCTCGGCGGCACTGCTTGCGGCCATGGGGCTCGACGGCGCGGACGCGGTGGCCGAGCGCCAGACCACGTCGCAGGCCGGTGTCGCGACGGTGTACGACGCCAAGAAGCGCAACCCGTTGTACGCCGGCGCGGACAATGCGTGCCTCTGGGAGCTGCAGCCGTTCCTGCAGCACTACCACCCGTCCGTGGCCACGTTTGCCAAGCAGCTGCTCGAGGGCCAGATCGTCTACAGCGGCGACCCGCTCACGGACTTCACGCTCACAACCTTCTTTGACAAGTTTGTCAACAAGAAGCCCAAGGCCAAAGACGGGCCGCACCAGCGTGGCGTCGCGGCGCCGTCGGCGATGGCCAGCATGTACTCGGAGGAGTTCCAAAACCAAGACGAAGGTACGCCATGTCGATGCAACGACAGAGTTCCTGATGATGACATCGTAGGCAACGTCGAGGAGAGCGACAAGTTCTTCTACACGTTCTTCAAGGAGCGTCTCAAGCGCAAGCCCAAGAAGGCCAAGAAGGAGCCCAAGGACGGCGACGCCTCGGAAGACGACGAGTACGAGGCCTTTGCCACGCAGTTGGCCGAGGGGCTTATGCAAGACAACGATGACGAAGACGTCGACATGGACGACTGGAGCGGGCCGGAGGACAGCGAGGACGACGAGGACGCGGAGGACGCGGACCCGAGCGAGCTCCTCGCGAATGAGTTCCCCGACTCGGACTCGGACGCGTCGGAAGTTGATGACGAAGAGCTGCTCATGACCAACGGCCACTCGCTCGCCGACGACGCCGACGACTTTATGGACGACGACGATGACGAGGACGATGACGAGGACGATGACATGGACGATGACGAGGATGACGAGGATGACGAGGATGACATGGTATTCCAAGAAGACAAGACGGCCAAATTTGCTGCCAAGTCCAAGAAGGGCGCGGCGCCGGACCGAAAGCGCAAGTCGCCGTTCGCGTCCGCGGACGACTACCTCGATCAGATTGCCGAGCTCGAGGCCACTGCGCGGTCGTCCAAGTCCAAAAAGCCCCGCAAGTAAATCTCCTAATCACTACTACACTATATAATTCGACGCACATACCCATTGCCCGCTTGGAGTCGGCGCGCACAAGCATGACGTCAGTTTGGCAGGTGCTCATAACTGCGCGACAATCACACTTGCATCCGAGGGCTCACGCGGCTCGGTGCCAAAGGTACTGAAGCAAACTTGAATCGGATCATATAGTTAGATAGCACTCCCAACACGCAACTGGACCACCTCTCGGTGTCGTGCGGGGTGTTGGCTCTTAGGGCTTGGCGGCTTCGTTCATCTGATCGGCCTGGATCGCCGTGATGGCGATCGTTGTGACAATGTCGCCGACCGTCGCGCCGCGGCTGAGGTCGTTGACGGGCTT